TTTAATATTTCTCTTGGACCTAATCACTGGGCCAAGATTGATTTGTATTCAAGTGTGAATGGTACATGGGAAGAGATCTTACACACCCCAATATCAGACTTGTTGCAGATATGTCTTGTTAAGACTGGGAAAACTACCCCGATAATTTTTTTTTTTTTACGAAGAACTTTTTATTGATGATGATCAGTTACAGCAAAATATGACCTAGGAGCCATATAGATTTTGAAGAGATTACACAAAGTATAATTCTTACCCCGATAATCTCCACTCTGGAATTACGGCCGGTGATAAAGGGTCTTTATATAACTAAGTCTGGCTCCCTGAAGCCTGTCTTCCGTAGATACTATAACAAGTCAGGACCTGATCTACGGTAAGTCAACTTCCACTGAACCCGCACTGAATCTCTACTTTCTGCTCTGTTTTGTTCTGTTCCTCTGTTTTTCTTCTGTAATCTATCTTCGGTCTTTTGTCTGTTTACACTTTTCACCACAAGAGCTTTGTAGAAGATGATGAAAGACAATGAAAAAATTCATGCATTGGTTTTAACTTTTTAAGACATAGTCAATATGATAATCGTAGTTAGTTAGCACTAGAATTCTATTGCTAAACAAATATTGCTCCCACCCCCACAGGTACCCGAGCGATATCTATGATCGCTTATGGGAACCGTACTTCGAGAATGAATGGACACAGATTTCCACCGCTCTCGAAGTGGCCAATACCAAACAAATACAATCCACCGGAAGCCGCCCTCAAAACTGCTGCCACGCCTACTAATGCTAGTGCGCCATTGACCATTGAATGGGATTCGGAAGATCCTGATGACCAAAATTACTTGTACGCACACTTTGCTGACATCCAGGTGCTGCAGGCAAATGAATCCAGGGAATTCGATATCCTTCTAAATGGAGATAGTTATGGGACTCTAATTCCACACAAGCTAGCAGTAACTACTCTCGTTGGCACGTCACCGGGAACTTGCAAAGGAGGTGAATGCAGCTTCCAGCTGAAAAGAACCAACAGATCAACTCTCCCACCTCTACTTAATGCTTTTGAAGTTTACAAAGTTATTCAGCTTCCGGTATATGACTTTCTTTTCCAGGTTACGCATATTAGTAAAGAAATAAATCATAAATAAAATGGAATACATCAAAACCTTTTTTATCTCAGTGGGTGCAATTAAAAGCATCGCAGCCACCTATTCATTGAGTAGAATCAACTGGCAAGGTGATCCATGCGTCCCTAAAAATCATAGTTGGGACGGTTTAAACTGTACCAATACGAATATGTCCATACCGCCAAGAATCACTACCTTGTAAGTTGAAAATTTAGTAGTACACACACATGACACACCCATTATTCAAGATCTTTAGTAGCAATTAGATCATTAATACTTTGAATGCATGTCGTTTTGAACATTTCCCTAGAAATTTGTCTTCCAGTGGTTTAAACGGAACCATAGCAGCTGACATCCAAAATCTTGCCCAACTAAAAATTTTGTAAGTATTACCATTGTTAATTGAAGGCGAGAAACCGTTATTATATGGATGGGAATAAAATTTGATGAACCTTTATGTCTTAATTATCTCTTTTTGAAATTAGGGATTTATCCAATAACAACTTGACTGGAGAAGTGCCCGAGTTTCTAGGCAACATGAAATCGTTGTCGGTCATGTAAGTTTCTCTCAACATATATTCTAATGCATTTCAAACTCCACTTGGAATCATGTTTGCACATCTTAAATACTTTTTCGTTTTTAAACAGAAACATTAGCGGGAACAATCTCAATGGTTCAATACCTCAATCTCTTAAAAGGAAAGGCATAAAGTTAATGTAAGAACTTTTCACATTATCCACAATCCTTTTTTTTCACTGTTAGAATGAACCACTCTAAAACAGTAAAACCCTCGTCATCTTGTAGTTATCATGGAAACCCAAAGCTTTGTCACTCTGGTTCATGCAGCAAGAAATTTCCAGTGGCGATTGTTGCATCCGTTGCTTCTGTGGCCGTTCTCATTGCTGCTTTGGTTCTTTTTCTTGTTCTCAGAAAGAAAAAGCTATGTACTGTGGAACTAGGTATAATTTGCAAGGCAACTCTCACCCAAATCAATAATACTTTTTAAAAAATCTTATCGTGAATATATACTCTTGTTTACAACTCCTATGTTTCTCTTATCCACAGCTCCACAACACATGTCACCAACGGTGAACGTTACAAAATCTGATTCACCAAACGAAATAATTGAAATGAAAAAGAAGAGGTTTACTTATGCAGAGGTTATTGAAATGACGAATAACTTCCAAAGATTTTTAGGGAAAGGAGGGTTCGGTGAAGTCTATCACGGTACTCTAAATGATTCTGAACAGGTGGCCGTTAAATTATGCTTTGCATCATCAACTCATGGCTTTAAACAGTTCAAAGCAGGTATATACGTATTTTATTGTACACTTTAAAAAACCTTCCCAACTAAACTATGACATTTTTTTATCATCACCATAGATTATGGACGCGTGTTGTTTTGGTAAATTAGGTTGATCTTCTTCTTAGAGTTCACCATACAAATTTGGTAAGCCTCGTTGGATATTGCGATGAAGGAGATCATTTGGCCCTCATCTACGAATTTGTACCCAATGGAGACCTAAAAGAACATCTATCAGGTAACATTTTCTAATGAGTATGCATGTATCACATCATGAAGCTCAATTATCTCGTTAATTATGATCTAATGATCTAATATACAGGAAAACAAGGTAGACCTATAATGAACTGGGATATGCGTCTGAGAATAGCGGTGGAGGCCGCACTAGGTTTGTACTAATTAAGTCATACAATAAGAGTTGATTCAATTGGGATAAGTAGTTAATACAGAAGACTCAATTGCATGTATATAGGATTGGAGTATTTACACATTGGATGCACACCATCAATGATTCACAGAGATGTCAAAACTACAAACATATTATTGGGTGAGTATTTCCAAGCAAAGCTTGCAGATTTTGGGCTCTCAAGATCCTCCCCAGTTGCAGGGGAAACTCATGTTTCTACGTCGGTGGTTGCTGGTACTTATGGATACCTTGATCCAGAGTAAGTGTAGTTAGCTAACAACAATTATATGCACGAAAATCTGTTCTTTGGTTTCCTTCTTCAATGGATGAAGAGTGTGCATCATGTTCTTCCCTTTTGCAGATATCACGATACATGTCGGTTGTCTGAGAAGAGCGATGTCTATAGTTTCGGAATTGTGCTGTTGGAAATGATCACGAACAAACCAGTGATTGATGAGACCCGTGAAATGCCTAACATAGCACAATGGGTGAGGTTTGAGCTAAACCAGGGAGAGATTACTAGAATCGTGGATCCAAACATTTGTGTGGATTACAACTCTCCTTCTGTTTGGAATGCTCTTGAACTAGCAATTTCATGCGCAGATCCTTCCTCAACGAAACGACCAACCATGTCTCAGGTTGTTAGCAAACTAAAAGAATGCCTCGAAAACTTGCGTGCAGCCTCTGAGTTACTCTGAAGTGAAAGAGCGTCTCAAAAACTTGCGTGGACTCTTTGAGTTATGCTAGAGTGCAGATGAGCTTAGTAATAATGGGATGACTCCCAGGGTAAGATGGCTTGTGTTTCAAGTCACGGTACCATGCCATTGCTTAGTTTATTAACGTTCTTGTGGCTTTTTATTTGTTGTGACGTCTCAATGTCAACTTTATGTATTTTACTGTGGTTTTAAGACTTATATGTGGAGTGGTATCTTTATTGGTTGAAATTAAATGATTGGTTTTCTTAAATGGTTAAAATGTGTTCTATTGTGGTAATGCATATTATAACATATATATAAATAAAAATGTTGGGATCCCATTTTCAGTTGATATACAAAATTTGTCATGTATATTTGGTGATATTTATAATAAAAAATAAAGTAATGATTTAGAACTAAGATCAAAGTGTTAAAGTTGTTTATGGAGGCAGATGGAGAGGATCATTAACTGGGAATTTATAAGTATGAGAAGTTTTGATGTTGAAAAGACGGTTTGGTTTTGTTTGAAGAAAAAGGTACTATTTACTTTAGTAACATAAGAGAATTTAATCATAACCGTAGATTAATGAAAAAAATTATATGAACCGTTATATTTTAGACTACTGTATTGTGTTTAATGAACCGTTTTTTCCTTGGTCAACTCTTGTGAACCGATTCTAGGATATGGAAGGATGTGTAATGTATATCGTCATTGGAATCTTTTGTTGACAAAATTTTCCAATTAAAATGCAGGAAAAATGGTCCCTTTAAAAAATATTTACTATTCCAATTGTACTTATATTCCTTGTTGGTTAAATCCTTCACTTCACAATGACTATGTAATTTGTCAAGTATTATACAGTAATAAAGTAAATGTTTGTCGGAAAAAAATGCAGGAAAAATATTACAAGGATATGACTTTAATGTCATAAACAATAATAGTTAAGAGAAATTGCTCAAATAGAATATAACATAGATTATACAAGAAAGTGGAAGCTATAAAGAGAAGAGCTAAGCTATAGAAGAATTAACCAAGATACCTCTTCGCCTAAATGCAAGCACACTTTCTTCTTCATCGATCTTGACCATCCGTTAATTTTTTTTAAGTAATTTTTAATGGTTTGATGAGTTTTTTTTTCCTATAGAAAAATGCTGGCATCTATGTTTTTCATTCTTTAATACCCCTGTAATAACCAATGTATTACATTGTGTCTATATTTGGCTATTTGCTCTTCTTAATAAAATATAGACGTTAAAAATAAAAAAATAAAAAATGCTGGCATCAGCAAGAACGAAAAGTAAGTTTGCTATATACTGTATATGAATTTGTCACTTCATTGGTCCAACTGAATAATTGCTAGCCTAGGCGGCTCAATTTCCCTTTCTTTTTAGTTTCCACAATCTACGGCTTTTGTCACATGGACGCGTTTTCTTTTTACCGCTCTTTATCTCCCATAGCCTAGCTAGTGGTTTTCTTGATTTTTCCGTGGGAGTTGAGAGAAGATGGAGAGTTCTCTTAGGCTTTTGTTGGTGCTCATTGCAACTGTGGCCATCATTCATCTTGTTCAAGCTCAAGACCAACGAGGTAGTTTTCTTCTTCTTACTCTTCTCAAAGCTTTGCTACTTGATCTAATCCGTTTTAAAACGGTCTATGCTTACAGGGTTTATTAGTTTGGACTGCGGACTACCCGCGAATGAAGTGTCTCCTTATAATGAGACGTCCACCGGATTACAGTTCTCTTCAGACGCGGAGTTCATCAAAAGCGGAGAAACTGGTAGAATCCAAAAATATATGGAGAGTGACTACTTCAAGCCATACAAGACGTTGAGATATTTTCGAGAAGGCACACGGAACTGCTACAATATACCCGTGGACAAGGGAAGGATGTATTTGATCAGGGCTTGGTTTTTATATGGAAATTATGATGGTCTTGACATTAATCCCAAATTTGATCTGTATCTTGGACCAAATCTATGGACCACGATGGATATGCAAAAACCAGGGAACAATGATACACGTGAAGAGATGTTACACATCCCAACATCAGACTCGTTGCAGATTTGTCTTGTTAAGACAGGGACAACTACACCGTTCATATCCTCTTTGGAATTACGGCCGATGGGGAATAAGTCTTATATCACTACTTATGGCTCCCTAAAGCTTTTGCGTCGAATATATTATACCAAGTCTGATGCTTACATAAGGTAACCTAACTCTAGCCAAACGTTTAAATGCTCTGTTTTTAGGTGCCTCTGTTATGCTATTTTTCTTGTTCCTCTGTTCTCCTCTGTCAAAGAAGGGACTATTCAATCCTCAACAGTGAGCAAACATAATAAGACAATTGTTATTTTTACTAAAGAATATCGTTCCCTCCACTTAGGTACCCGGGCGATGCATATGATCGGATATGGAATCCGCGTTCTCGGTCGTGGTTGACCCACATATCCACCACTAAAGATGTCTCTAATGGTGGTAACTACAATCTACCAGAAGCCGTGCGACAAAATGCTGCCATTCCTACTAATGTTAGTGACCCCTTGAGGATTACTTGGACTTCAGAAAATCCTAATGACGAATATTACACGTATGAACACAATGCTGAGATCCAAGACTTGCAGGCCAATGAAACCAGGGAATTCATCGAGTTCTGGAACGGAAATAGTATTACTGACCCTATAACTCCTAAAATATTAGAAATAAAAACTATTCAAAGTGTGACCCCGAGGACGTGCCAAGGAGGGGAATGCAGTTTGCAACTGACAAGAACCGAGAGATCAACCCTTCCACCTCTACTTAACGCTTATGAAATTTATAGTGTCATCCAATTTATGCAACCCGAGACTAATGAAGACGAAGGTACGTTTTGGTATGTTTCAACAAATCCCAACAATTTCTGCGTTAGCTTTAACTCACTCATGATTTTTATATCAGTCTTTGCTTTAAAAAGTATCCAAGACACCTATAAATTGAGCAGAATCAACTGGCAAGGTGATCCATGTGTCCCTCAACACCTTATGTGGGATGGTTTAAACTGCAGCGACACGATTATCTCCACATCACCACCAAGAGTCACTTCTTTGTAAGTCCTAACGTCATTCTTCAAAATCTGTAGTAATCATTTGATCATTACCATTTTGAATGTGGATTTGAACAATACCACCAGAAACTTGTCTTCCATCGGTTTAACTGGAACCATAGCAGCTGCTATCCAAAATCTTACGCAGCTTGAAAATCTGTAAGTAAGTTCATTGAATACCTCTAGCTATATGGTGGATGGTAATAATTATGTTGGAGGAATCTCTGTTTTTTTTTTTCTTCTTGTCGTGCAAATTTCAGGGACTTGTCGAATAATAAGTTGACTGGAGAGTTGCCAGAATTTCTAGGGAACATAAAATCGTTGTTGTTCATGTAAGTTTCTTTCAACATGTACTTGCTAATGCTTTTCAAATAACACTTCGAATTAATCATGTTTTTCGCGCATGTGAAATAAGTTCTCGTTTTAAAACAGAAACTTAAGTGGGAACAATCTCAACGGTTTAATACCTCAAACTCTTGAGAGGAGAGGCGTACTGTAAGAACTTTTCACATTATCCACAACCGTTTTTTACTGTCAGAACCAATTTTAAAACCTAAACCTTAAATAGTACACCCTCGTTATCTTGTAGTCTTCATGGAAACCCGAGGCTTTGTCATTTTGGTTCATCATGCTCAAAACCACGTAGCAAGAAACTTCTTGTCGCAATCGTTGCACTTGCATCTGTGGTCATTGTCATTGCTACTTTGATTGTTTTTCTTGTTCTCAAAAAGAAAAAGGTATCGACTGTGCAAGGTAATATGCAAGGCAATTCTCGCCTAATCGATAAATTATTTGAAGTCTCATCGCGCATAGTCTTGTTTACAACCCCTAATGTTTCTCTTATCTGGCCAGCTCCACTACTACGACAGATTATGTCACCAATGGTGAACATTACAAGATCTGATTCACCAAAACCATTAATTGAACTCAAAACGAAAAGATTTACTTATTCAGAAGTTATTACAATGACGAACAACTTCCAAAGAGCTTTAGGTAAAGGAGGGTTCGGTATTGTGTATCACGGTAATCTAAATGATTCTGAACAGGTGGCCGTCAAAGTATGTAATGAATCATCAACTCAATTCGTTAAACAGTTTAAGGCAGAGGTATACGTATTATTGTAACGTAACTATATATATGTTTTAGCATCAAAAGGTTATGAACCTTTTGTTTTCTTTATTCCACATTGGTGAATTAGGTTGATCTTCTTCTTAGGGTTCACCATACAAATTTAGTAAACCTCGTCGGATATTGTGATGAAGGAGATCGCTTGGCCCTCATCTACGAGTTTGTACCAAATGGCGACTTAAAAGAACATATGTCAGGTAACATTGGCTAATGAATATATATATATATATATATATATATCATGAAACTCAAGGATCTCGTAAGGATCTAATGATCGAATACACAGGAAAACATGGCAGACCTATCATCAACTGGGGTATGCGGTTAAGAATAGCTGTGGACTCCGCACTAGGTTTGTACTAATTCATACAATAAGAATTGTTTTGATTGATAAGCAGTTAATAGAGAAGAGTCAATTGCATAGGATTGGAGTATTTACACAGTGGATGCAAGCCGTCAATGATTCATAGAGATGTCAAAACTGCAAACATCTTATTGGGTGAGCATTTCCAAGCCAAGCTTGCAGATTTTGGGCTTTCGAGATCTTCCCCAGTTGCAGGGGAAACTCATGTTTCAGCATCGGTGGTTGCTGGTACTCCTGGATACCTTGATCCAGAGTAAGGCTTATAAGTAAACACATAAATGCACTGAAATTTCTTCTTTGGTTTCTTTCTTCAATGGATGAAGTCTGTATCATGTTCTCTTCCCTCTTGCAGATATCACGATACAGGTCGGTTGTCTGAGAAAAGTGATGTCTATAGCTTCGGAATTGTGCTGTTGGAAATGATTACGAACAAACCAGTGATTGATGGAACCCGTGAAAACTCTAACATAGCACAATGGGTGAGGTTTGAGCTTAACCAGGGAGAGATTACTAAAATCATGGATCCAAACCTGTGTGTGGATTACAACTCTCCATCTGTTTGGAGTGCTCTTGCACTAGCAGTTTCATGCGCAGATCCTTCATCAACGAAACGACCAACCATGTCTCAAGTTGTTAGCAAACTAAAAGAGTGTATCGAAAACTTGCGTGCATCCTCTGAGTTACTCTGAAGTGAAATTGTGTCTCAAAAATTTGCGTGGACTCTCTGAGTTACGCCGAAGTGAAGATGAGCTTAATAATAGCTTGTGTTGCAAGTCACGTTACCATGCAATTCTTTTTTTTTTTTTTGGTCAGGCATGCAATTGCATAATTTATTAACGTTATTGTGGCTGTTTATTTGTGACGTCCCATGTTTGTGTTTTTTTTTTTGAGAAAAACGTCCCGTGTTTGTATTAAAGTGTCAGAATTATATATTTTTATGTTAGTTTTAAGATTAAGACTTAGTAGTTGATTACCCGTAAGTGCGAGATAAATATTAATCACAATTCTTTTATTCGAATATACAAATATAATATATATAAATATAGTTCTAAAAAATGTTAGCTGATATTTATAATTATGATTATGTAATTATAAATAATGATCAAAATTATATTTATTTTGTAATACAATTGCATAAATGCTAGATAATTATTGATTTTATAATTAATTTTAGTAATATTATTTATATGAATAAAATTACATATTAAACATATTAAATTAAATTAATATGTTCTATCGAACCGGTCTAACATCAGACTAATATATTTTGCTTTGATATAAAAAAATGAGAATTATAATATTTATTAAAATATTTAGATTCTTCTATTATTAAATAGATAATATGATTATTTTTAACAAAATTAAGATTAAAAAAAATGAGATAAAAAATAATGTTTAGTAATATAAGTAATATTATGTATTAAATTTTTATAAATGTGTTGATAAATAATAGAAAAAAAGAGAAAATATCTTTATAAATTAAATGTTTGAGTATTAAATATACATTTGATATAAACTAATCTTTAACCAAATTAATGTTAATGACATATAATGTAATTAATCTAGTAAGTTGAGTTTAATTTTAATAAATATTTGAGAAGTTTTCTGAGATTGACACATCAGCATTACAAAGTTGTTAATAACACATGACATAAATGTTCTTTTTTAAGTGTCTTTTAATAACACATGACATAAATGTTCTTTTTTAAGTGTCATTCTCAAATAATAATAGAAAATATGTTGAGTGGTTACTTATTGGTTAAAAATGTGTTTCATGTGGTAAAGCGTAGTTTTATAGAGGAAAATGTTGGGTTCCATCTTCAGTTGATCATGTAAAAAAAAGTTATCATGTAAATATGGTGACATTTATAGTACAAATAAAGTAATATTGCCAAATATGTTTTAGAAGTTTAGAACTAAAATATAATTATTAATGAAAGTGCATAAGTTGTTGGAAATCATTTGATGATAACATGGCATAGTGGGTTGAGGTTAAATATAAATAAATTAGAAACATTTACATAAGTAAAAATGTGGAGTTCAAGATATATTTGGAGAATAATCGTTTTAAGACTCATTCCTTTCAATTGGAAGAGGATATATTTCTTCTTGTAAGTTGTAACTTTGTTAAAATTTATGATTAGCTCAAATTATAGATTTAGGCGAGTCGGATTTATTTGTTGGAACACACGTCTGTGTTTGGAACATCGTTTGATTCCAAGATTTTGTGTATCTAGAAATAGGTTAGCGTGTAACTGAGGAATTGTCAGAATAAGCTGTGCCGAGTCTTTCTCCTTTTTTCAATATATACTGAGCATGATAGGTTTTTGGAGTAATATAATAATATTGTCAAATAAGATTGTCAATCGATATTTAGCTCCCCTTCTCAGATCCATTACGCCCCAGTTCGCATATCAAATTATGAGAGTCAATGACAAATTATCTCAATTCTAATATATATATCCTCATCAATCTATAATAGGTACTCAAACAAAGCTAAATCACTCACAATCCATTAGTTTAGTAAGAACCAAATATGTAACTCGTAATTCGTTGTTGTTAATGAACGCATATGAAAATTTCAAATATACGAGTTTAAAAAAATTGGCGCTTCATTGCCATAATTCGTGGCGCCTCATGTAAACAAAAAAAGTATTCTTATTGGCTAACTCTGCCACCACACGGATCGCTCAATACACCGTTGATTAAAATAGATCGACGGTTCTTACATCTTTTCGCTGTAGACACGGATCGATATCTCAGCCGTTAGATCGACTATGCGATCTGATTGCTCAAATGATAAGGTCCCCCGACTTACTTATAAAAATCACATCCTCATTTCTCATCACAATCCCACTCTAATTGAGATTCTTCTTCATCATTTAATTTTCACGAGCAAATCCAATTTACATCGGAAAAAATGTCGGGTCGTGGAAAGGGAGGAAAGGGTTTGGGGAAAGGAGGAGCGAAGCGTCACAGGAAGGTTCTGAGAGACAACATCCAAGGAATCACCAAGCCGGCGATTCGGAGGCTGGCTCGTAGAGGTGGAGTCAAGCGTATCAGTGGTCTGATCTACGAGGAGACACGTGGCGTCCTCAAGATCTTTTTGGAGAACGTTATCCGTGACGCCGTCACATACACCGAGCACGCCAGGAGGAAGACGGTGACTGCCATGGACGTCGTTTACGCGCTCAAGAGGCAAGGCAGGACTCTCTACGGTTTCGGCGGTTAAGAATCTGTTCTGCTTCGAGTTTGTGTTTCTCCTTTTCTGGGTTCTCTGAATTAGGCGTATTATTCTAGAAATTTCTGATCAAATCATGTTCTACTTAGCGTTTTCGTTATATGTAATTACGCCTTATCTTTTGTTTTAGTGATTTGTTGTCATTGTAATCCACGATTAAGTACAAGTTTCTGGAGAAGTATAATCGAATCTCATTTCAGTAATCAGCTTTGTGTTTCATCCATTAGTCCAGATTTACTCTTATTTGACCTAATTTAGATTGTTTTCTCCATTTACGATTGGGAATTTTGCGCCTGGTTGCCTAAATGAGATAAATCAGGTCACTATCGTTGTATGTAGTGATTGGTTCAACGACGTAGCAGCTGATGGAAAATAAAATTAAACCGAAACGAACCAGTACATATTTCGCTTAAGAGACTGATTAAGCAAATTTTTTTTTTTTTTTGGTCGAAAACTGATTAAGCAAGTTTGTGACAACTTCAGAATCTAGTCTCAAACCCTATGAAGCTATTCGAGTTCATAAATCTGGACTTTCTTTGATTGTTTACTTAATGAAAATCCCAGTCTAATCGTTAATCATGTACAGAAGAAAAGCTTCACCAGCTAATCGTTAATCAGCTTCTAATTAGTAATCTTTTCGTTTTTCTGGAAATTAATCATCTCTTACCGTCCTTCCGATTTCACCAGCTGCGAGAAAACTTTACTCATGGAAACACCTGAAAGATCATCAACACTCGACTCTTCATCTTCAAACCGTCCCTCTCTGTCTACACCAACGTTAACGCTCGTGTCTCCCTGGTTGTTGTAATCACTGAACCGTAAAGGTAACTCACCGATCATGTTCGTGCTGTTATCTTCTTCTGTATCACCATCAACGACTGTTTCTTGCAGCTGCAAAGCATACTCAAGATTCCACAACACATCTCCCATCGATGGCCTATCCACTCCATAATCAGCTAAACATTTCTCCCCTGTTTCACCAAACTTCCTGAGCGAATCAGGTCTGATTTTACCCCGCAACGACTCATCGATGACATGTTCCAGCTGTCCTTTCTTCTGCCATTTCATCGACCACTCCGCTAGATTCACCATCTCTCTAGGAAGCGTCGGGTCTATAACGGGTCTCGCGCAGAGAACCTCGAACATCACGACTCCGAATGAGTAAACGTCTGATTTCTCTGTGAGCTGTTGCCTTCTGAAGTATTCAGGATCGAGATAGCCAAAGCTTCCTTTGACAGCAGTACTCACATGAGTCTGATCGATCTCTGGTCCGGTCTTAGACAGCCCAAAGTCTGCAACTTTAGCCATGAGACTCGCGTCCAGCAATATGTTAGCGGATTTCACGTCTCTGTGAATCACGGGTTTCGAGTCACCTGTGTGGAGATAATGCAATCCTCTAGCTGCTCCAATACATATCTCAAGCCGTTCTTTCCAACTCAAGCTAGGAAGACCAGAGCCGTAGAGATGACTCCTCAACGTTCCCTTCTCCATGTATTCGTAAATCAGAATCATCTCGTTGTTCTCGTCGCAGTAACCGATCAGAGAAACCAAATGTCGATGACGAAACTGAGACAGCATCTCGATTTCTGTCCTGAACTCTGCAAGTCCTTGCTGAGACTTGGGGTTCCCTCTTTTAACAGCGACTTTAGTGCCATCTTGAAGCTCTCCTCTGTACACTTTACCAAAACCGCCGACTCCGATCTCGCGGCTCTGATCAAAGCTATTCGTGGCCTCTTTAACCGCTACCAAAGGGATTCGGTAGCTGGAATTGGAAGCTATGCTAGTTATTGTAGTTCCATTTGAGTCTGAAGCTGTTCCACTGGTACACAAAGGAATCCAAGTCTTTGAGTCACCATCTTGGCCTCGTCCTCGTTTCTTGAACAGCAAAAAGAAACCTCCAAAAACAACTAAAGCAAGCAAAGAACCAACCGTTGCACCAACGATCATACCAACATTCTTCTTTGTCGTTGAACTCGAAACACCAGCTGGCAAAAACGTCCCGGTACTAAGCTGACCCTTGGAGTTATTCATCTTCATGATCTCTAATCCGTTTAGAATCGCAGTAGGGTAATCCGAGTGAACAGTCGATGGACCAATGCTCACACGGATTCTATTAGTGCTTTTTGCTGATCCCGTGACATAATCCATCACGTATGCACCAGCCAAAGTGTTGGATAAATAAGAGCTCAGATCAAGATTCTCGACACCCATCATTGAGTCGACATAAAGATTGAAGTAGAGCTGGTTTAGAGCTTTGCTCACAATATCGCAGAAATGAAACCGGAGAAAGTACTGAAAGCCCGTGTCAACGTCGAATTCCCACGTCACGTTGAAATTGCTAGACGGATTATCCGCAGAATTCATCTCGGTGCAAGTACCATAAACAGTTCTTGGAGCAGTATCCTCTGTAGCAAAACCGGGAACATAATCAACACTTGCAATCTTAGACACACTCTTAACTAGATTCTTCTCGACTAGAAACTCCGAATCGGGCTCCCAAATTCTCGAAAGAGTATCGTTAGAAGGCGTAACACGCGGACCGCCCATGTTGACTCTATGAACCGTCTCAAGAGCTTGCAATGACAATCCTTGAAACCTCCCGGGACGACCTGCGAGTGAAGGATCACCATTGAGCAATGTATCAGGAACCGATACAACCTCGAGGGCGTTCACAAAGGCAAACGAATTGCCCGAGGGAGTAAACGTGAGCTCGAGAATATCCGTGGCTACATTTAGAGAGTATTCCTTCATAACTCTTGACTTCGTAGTGAAGTCACTCAAGAGAACATGTGTCTGCGAAGAAACTGAGAATTTGGCTGACCCCATTTCGAAGTTTAGGTATTGAAATGGACTGAAATGGAGACGAATCCAGTGTCGGCCTCGAGCGACGGAGAATGTGTACTTGGAGATTCCGGTGAAGATTCTCGCCGTCTGGTAAATATCTGAAACCGAATTGCGATTGCTCGCGGCGAGGATTTCACTGGGAGATTTAAGGAGGTTTGAGGTAAGCTTATCAGAGATGAATACTCGACCAGTTACAGTGACATTGGTGGGCGATCCACAGTTGATGAGGTAATTGTTCACAGGTACGTATCCATGGCAGAGGCAGATTAAGCAAGAAATCGATGAAACCCATGTAAAAAATCCAAACTTTTCACCACCCATCCTCAAAAAACCTGGAAATTTTAAACAATTCCGCGGAAAAACAGATAATCTATTAGCTAGATTCAAGGGGTACGGTATGAGCAAAGTTAGGGCTTTGTTTAAGCAAAGATGACAACTTTCTCAAATCAACAGGGAGAATTTTTCCGTAACGGACTGATAAAATTGAACAGCAAAAGAACAATATTTACCTTTAAGACAAGAAATCCAAGAAAAATAATTGTTTCATGGAAGGTAAAAGTAGCTGAGCATCAGCTGATGGATTGATCTCCAGATTTTTGGGTTTTGGTTTCTTAGAAACTGTGTTTGGAGCTTAACACATGTTCCAATAGAGAAGAGACTGATAACAAGAGATAGATTTTCTTGTGAACTCAGCAAACATGAAGCTGTATATATAAAATAAAAAAGAATATATTTTATTATAATTTACGTAGTTGTATAGTTACGAAGGAATTGAAGTTGCCTAAAAAGAAGACGAAGAAATTGAATTGAATTGTCAGTATGATTTTTATGATGGCTAAGAAAGTATGGAAGAAGACGATATTTGCCATAAAAGTTTTTACCAGAAAAAAAAGTTGCAGAAAACGTAAGTCAGTAAGTGAGTGGGTATGTTACATTACCGCATTTAATGTCTCAAGAAAACATTACTTTTAACTTTTTCTCCTCCACAACAATACTATTTATGTTGATTACATATCGTTTTGTCTGCATAGTCACCCTATAAGTCAACACTTTACGATAAAGTTCACAGAATTATGACATATTTCATATGATATAATATACTTTATATTACGTACGATATATGATATGATATCTTCCATATTTATCTAAGATTTAATATATTTTCTGTTCTCTCTCTATCTTTTTTTTTTTAAGTTTAGCCTAGACTTATAGAAATGTTTCTCTTAGTATTAATAAAGATTAAATGTGTTCATATCAAGCATTTATATTATTTTGTTTTTAGAAAAACAAAAATAAAGGTAGTGGATGCTTGAACAGTTGAACGAAAGTCGGCATATTTTGTTAATATTCTGAAGAATATGTAGTACCAAACTGCCGACTGTATTTATGAAATATGATGTAAGCACATGATCGGTTTCTGTTCATGCTTCAGTAATAGATTCTCATGAAAATACTCTATATTCTATGTTTCTTCTGTTGGAAATGGATAACGTTCTTTAACAGAAAAAAAGAAAAGAAATGGATAACGTTCATCTCAAGTTTTTGTGTTAATTAGAAAAACTCATATGTCAAAGATCTAAAACCTTCTCGATAAACAATAAATGGAATGACGACATTAAGTCATTAACCACCCCACTATTCATCTACGTGGAACATGACATCAAATATAGTTAATTTGAAAAGAATGATAAGATCCCACTATATTGATCCAAACACCGATAAAATGATCCCACCAAATATTTTCCTTGCGAGTTGGGAATTTATAATACAAATCTTAAATATCAACCTAAAAACACACCTGTGGTGGACCTGTTTTGCCGACGAAAAAAAAGATACCTTTAGTTCGGACACTGGAAAGTGGACACAACAATATTACAGATTTGTTTCAACTTGAAAGGCCTGGCTAATTTGATGGCTTTTTTTTTGTTTGTTAATTTTTTTGTAAAGATGAGTTACAAGACCCAAGTTTTGATCTGGAATTAGACAGTGATTTAAGAGGACTGGAGTGTCAACCGTTATTTCGTATTTGGCTGTGTTGTCATATAACCATGCATGTAATCTAAAACGCAATGCAGAATACCCAGGATGAAGATAGTTTTATCATCGAGTTAATTGGGTATTTCTAATATTTGATCAAAAAAAAAAAAATCTTTTACCAAAAAAAAAAAAAACCTTTTTAAAATGGTTTGAAGTAATGTTGATTTTTTTTTTAAAAAAACAAGTGTCTGAGCTAAGTTAGACATGACACTAAACATTTCGTCTAAATATAAATGATAATTCTGGTCCCAAAAAACAAATTATCTTGAAAAATACTGTTGGGTTTTGGCAAACTTTGATAAGCTTTGTCTAGTATGATTGAATTGCATTGAATGGACGTAATTTTCATTATCCTTAAACATCTAACGTCTTTTTCATATAGGTGGATGAGTTGGTTTGTTTACTAAATATAACATACATATGCTATTAGCATTCAAAAACGACAGTCCTAATTATGATTGTAATATCTTTAGCAAATATTTAAACCTTCGTTTAATCGAGTAACACACATCTCGTCGTTTGTACTTTTGTTTTATATCTAACACCGCGGTTTGCATTAACGCTTGGATTTAACGTACTTCACTTTTATTAAACGCACTCAACATCAAGTCATCAACAATTCATATGATTTTTTGTATTTCACAGTTCCGGCATGAAATCGTAAATTTATAATTTTGAATTAGAATTATGAATCCACAAAAAAAATGATATGTGCTTCCTTTTAAATATTCAAATATTGCTAATTTTGTGAGAATATTTTGGTTTTCTTTTGGGATCAAATTTGGATGCAATTAGTTTGGATATCCAAAGGTAAATTATCAATTTGCCAAACGAACAACAATACAAATTATGTAAATGCACCTAGCCACCTAACGGAATAATCTGTTTATGATCTTAAAGTTGAGAACTTAAGATTCTTAACTAACTTGAAAGTTTAACAAAAAAAATGGCTTGTTCAACTGGGCCCAAACATTGGTCCGAAATTAAGGATTCGAGCTTCTCTTACAGAAACACTCTTACTTATATAGAGGGTCTCGTGGGACCCGTCGTGACCTTCTGATAGTTCCCTCCAACACCAATCATTCGGCCCAAAAAATAATTCTTTTTTTTCTTTTATTTTATAAATATTTTTCGATCCCATTTCTAAATCTTGCTCGTTCTCGTTCCTATATCCGTTTTCGATTTAGGGCACCAACCTCTGAAACAATTAAAATCAAAATCTCCGCACGAAAACTCCATAAATCTTCTTCTTCCTCCCCTTCGGATTCTCAATCTTCTCTTTGATTGATATCAGGGTTTTGCGAATTGGGCAGTGCTATCCTCTTCCTCCTCTGTACGCACCCTTCTCCTCTTACTGTCAGTGTGAACACAAAGCTCGCGATTTTAGGGTTTTCGGAGCTCAGTTTTGTTATTCTACTATTGAAATTACATCGCGCTAGTTTAATTTAGGGTCTGGTTTTGCTCGGTCTGTTCTACAGCAGTGGAATTACGCTTGCGATTGATTGATTAATTTATTGGATCCTCGTGATTTTTTATAGTTTGACATTTGTTTATGGTTCTGAATCTTTTCCCCTACTTCTGATTTCCTGCTTGATGTTTATTTCATGTTTGCTAATTTATTATCTCCCCGTGGATGTATTTACATGCGCGTGTGTAGCCGATCTTCTTATCTCTTGATGAACAGTATGTAGTCATACAATAAATTCCTCTGGTGCTCCACCATGCTTGTTAAGATTTATGTTTAGTTTTGTTTCCTGTGTTAGTTATCTTTTTGTTTGTTTGAATTTTGTCTGCTTTGTTGAACTTTTCCTTCTTAGGCTATTAATTCGTGTGCTTGTGTATTCCCTCTCAGATTGTAGGCGTTTCGCGTCTTGTCTCCGAATGATATATTGTCTCACGTGATTGTCAGTTCGTGCAATGTCAAACCTTCATGTATCGTAACCCCTTTTCTCCCTAATCATTTATATAGTTTTGATGTCCTTAGGACATCGTTTGCTTAACTGTGTATTCTTATATGAACTCATGTGTATGCAGTCATCTCTCAATGGTTCAGCTTCGAATTTACCTGATGGGTCGGGCAGATCTTTTGCTGCTTCCTATTCTGGACAATCTGGTGCACCGTCTCCCGCTTTTCATCACACTGGTGGGTGTGATACTTATCATGACACCTATGTATATTTTGCTCTGTTCTGCACCTATGAAGAAGGTTCTTCGTTTTTCTTCATGCAGGAAACCTTCAGGGGCTTCATAATATACATGGGAGCTATAACGTCGGGAACATGCAAGGTACACTTACATCAAGAAACTCAAGTATGAATAGTATACCATCTGCTGGGGTTCAACAACCTAATGGGAGTTTTTCCAGTGGAAGATTTGCTTCAAATAATCTACCTGCTCTCTCTCAGGTGCATGTGGTGTGAAATTTTTTTGAAAACAACTTCTCTTGTTTTTAATCTATGTCTCACATTATGCGACTATTGTTTTGTAGTTGTCTCATGGCAGCTCTCATGGGCATTCGGGAATCCCAAATAGAGGAGGTATTAATGTTGTTGGCAACCCTGGGTTTAGTAGTAACGCAAATGGAGTTGGCGGTTCTATTCCTGGGATTCTCTCCACATCTGCAGGACTCAGTAATCGGAATAGTGTTCCAGGGATGGGAAATCTCTCCCAGTTGTTGGGAAATGCAGGTCCTCGAATAACAAATTCAATGGGAAATATGGTTGGTGGAGGTAACTTGGGAAGGAATATTAGCTCTGGTGGATTGTCGATTCCTGGTCTTTCTTCACGACTAAATTTGGCAGCTAATAGCGGATCAGGATTAAATGTTCAGGGACAGAACCGAATGCTGGGTGGAGTACTTCCTCAAGGTATATATGATTTATCTAGTTGTTTCCATTTTCTGTCTTTGTGGTTCTTTTGCCCATAAGTTGATACAATATATCATTGTCTGTGAAACAGAACATAAATTTAGCTACATGGAGGACATAGTTTTTTACTTTTGTGATTATGGGGTCTTCCGTATAGTATTTAGGAAGTGCTGTTGAAATTAAGTATACAAATTAGTTTTCTTAATAACAACTTAAAATAAGTTGTTGTTTAAGGAAGTATTATATCAGTAGTTAAACCTGTTTTGCAGACTCATGTGGGTACGATTAAATATAGAGAAAGCAGACATTGTTTTCAGCTCACATACTATGGGATTGTATGGAGCTTTTAAGACGAGCTTGTTTACGTTTCACTTTACAATCTCATTTATGTAAACATGCAATAAGCTAGCAGATGCTGTATGTGGATATAGAAGTAAAAATCTGATTGTAAAACTATATGGTATAGGATCTCAAGTCATGTCTATGCTGGGGAACTCCTATCATAGTGGTGGCGGCCCACTTTCGCAGAACCATGTTCAGTCAGTTAACAATATGATGCTCAGTGATCATTCTAACGACAGCTCTCTTTTTGACATCAACAACGATTTTCCCCAGCTGACAAGCCGCCCTGGTTCTGCTGGTGGCACTCAAGGACAACTGGGTAGTCAATTTATCTGATGATCTTTTTAAATTTGTGTAATTATAAAAGACGTATTTGGAAAATTAATCCATTTTCATGTCTTGTTCCCTCATACTCTTGTTGTGGGTTTTGTAGGCTCTTTGAGAAAACAAGGCTTAGGAGTTCCAATTGTCCAACAAAACCAGGAGTTCAGCATCCAAAATGAAGACTTTCCAGCTCTACCTGGATATAAAGGTGCTGGTCAGTTATTGTCTATAACTTTGTATTGTATCGTGCATAAAGTTGTGTGCTGCATATGTTGTGTGCGCAAAGTGAGGTATATCTTCTCTAGTTTCCCCTATTGTGAAAAGTTTCCTCCTTTGCTATTCTCCAAAATCATGAAAGCGCATTTCTAGATGTTCTAAATACTAGGAAGCTTAGATATTTCTTAACTGCCTTCAAATTATATCTTATTGCAGAAGAAAGATGATAAGATGTTTCCTACATATGTATATCTAAATGCTATAAGCTAAACCTGCTGGATCATTCACAAGCGTAGTAGATTTTTTGCAGGTGGTAATTCTGATTATCCGATGGATTTGCATCAGAAAGAACAACTCCATGACAATGCTATGTCAATGATGCACTCTCAAAACTTTTCTGTAAGCTTTTTTGACTGTTTCGTAATTAAGAAAATGTTAGTCCGCTTTTTCTATTGATTTGGATATTTGATGGGGTAATTTATGTTTTGATACTTCAAATTTGTAGATGGCTAGATCTGGTGGTTTCAACCTGGGGGGAACATATCCATCACATCGCCCACAACAACAGCCACAACATACTTCATCTGTGAGTGGCAGTCTCTCGTATCCGTATCTGTTATTAAACCAGGACGTTCCTCAATTTGCATATCTCAAATCTATACTTATCATGAACCCTTATTTTGATACCAGACTGGTGGACTACAGGGTCTTGGCTTGAGACCTCTAAGCTCTCCCAGTGCTGTTTCCAGTAACAGTTATGACCAGCTTATTCAGCAGTATCAGCAGCATCAAAATCAATCCCAGTTTCCTGTGCAACAAATGTCATCGATCAACCAGTTTAGAGATTCTGAGATGAAATCGGCACAGTCAGAGGCAGATCCATTTTGCTTGCTTGGCTTGTTAGACGTACTAAACAGGAACAACCCTGAATTGGCCTCTCTTGCTCTTGGCATCGACTTAACAACGCTAGGGTTAGATTTGAATTCAACTGGTAATCTCTACAAGACATTTGCTTCCCCTTGGACCAATGAACCGGCAAAGACTGATGTCGAGTTCACAGTACCCAATTGTTACTACGCCACACCACCTCCGCCTCTAACTGTAAGTTTCCTCTGATATTTTGATGTAGCACGACCAGTGTACTCTCTCAGCCGTTTTCTCGATTTTGTTAAAACATGTGTTATTATTTCCCTTGGTTGCAGCGAGCAATTTTCAAAAGGTTCTCCTACGAGTTATTGTTCTACACATTTTACAGGTCTGTAAAGAGAACATCATTGAACATCCCTTTTGCCAACTCATGAATCATCTTTGTCCAATTTAACACATTACTTTAATTTATTGTTCCAGTATGCCAAAAGACGAAGCACAGCTACACGCAGCAGATGAACTGTATGTTTTTCCTTCTCTACCACGATCTTGATCATTCGTTTACTTTGCTCTCGTTGGCTGAGGTTTTTGAGTTTGATATCTTGCAGTTACGAACGAGGTTGGTTTTACCACAAGGAACATAGATTATGGTTCTTCAGAGTTGGGGAACCTTTGGTCAGGACAGCTGTATATGAAAGAGGAACATACGAATGCCTCGACCCAAACTCGTTCAAAACAGTCAGAAAGGTAAATCAAACGATTAATGCAGGAACATATGTAGTTTTTGATACTTGAATTTGCAGTGTATGAATGGTGATGCTTATTGCAGGAGCATTTGGTTGTCCAGTACGAGCACATGGAAAAGAGACCAAGCTTGATGCAGCATTGACTTCACGTAGGTTTGTTCAATTAGTAGCATCTTTACAGTGTAAAGCTTTTTCTTTCTCTTTTTCTTCATGCAAGCTCCATTGTTTAGAAACCAAACCATCTTACAATTTCAATTTTTAACCTCAAATTTCCGCCATAAAAGGTAACTTAAGTTAAATTTCTTGTTCTTTTCCTTTGTCTTTTGATAAATGATCTTTATTTCTGTGATCTTTTGATTAATTTAGGTTTCCTTTTTTAGCATCCTGGTTTAGTAATTGGTGTCTGTAAACCAAAACGTGGCTTAGTTCTGGTATATTTTCAGACGAAATCCATGAAAATATTGTTTAGTGTAAAGTATGCTACGAACTACTTTGATTTTTCTTTTTGGCAATTTTTTTTTGTAATCAAAATGTTCAACATTATTTTCGATAATCACATTAGCATTTAGCACCTTTAATGTTGTATTCCAATGGTGATACAAGAATGTAAAACTTTTTTTTATTGTTGTTAACAAATGGTAAGAGATCTAATGGTCTAAGCCAAATGGTAAACATTAGACGCATTAGTACACTAAGCCAAATGGGCCTTTATCATTGAAGATTATCTTCACTGAGCCCGTATAAAAAGGGAGAGAACTAACAAAAAACGGCACGTCGTTTATGTGTCAACCCAGGACTGCACGTCGTCTCGTTGCAACAACCGAAACTTCTTGAAATGCCAAGAAAAACCTGGTCACTTTAAAGACTCTAGAAAAGAAACGAAGGTTTTAGTCTTTTTTAGAAAAAGAGCAGTCTCTATAATTCAAGAAACTCGAAGAACGTTCTCTCTTCATCCTCTACTTCCTTATATATATAGGACTCCATATGACCTCAAAATCAGATCAAAGCAGCAAGAAAATCAAGAATCAAAGCGAAGCAAACGTTCAAGTGATCACTTAGAAAAGCAGTAAAGATGTCTCTCATTCCAAGCATTTTCGGAGGAAGAAGATCAAACGTTTTCGATCCTTTCTCGCTAGACGCGTGGGATCCATTGGAAGGATTCTTCACGCCTTCTTCTGCGTTAGCAAACGCATCCGCTTCAACCGCTCGTGACGTGGCAGCGTTTACAAACGCTAGAGTGGACTGGAAGGAGACGCCGGAGACACACGTGTTCAAAGCGGATCTACCGGGGCTTAAGAAGGAAGAAGTGAAGGTCGAGGTTGAAGACAAGAACATACTTCAGATTAGCGGAGAGAGGAGCAGAGAGAACGAAGAGAAGAACGACACGTGGCACCGTGTGGAGAGGTCTAGTGGCAAGTTTATGAGGAGGTTTAGGTTGCCGGAGAATGCGAAGATGGAAGAAGTGAAGGCGACAATGGAGAACGGTGTGCTTACGATTATGGTTCCAAAAGCGCCGGAGAAGAAACCTGAAGTCAAGTCCATTGATATCTCTGGCTAATTCATTGTCGATGAAGGTCAAGTCTTCTATTTGGTGTGTGTGTTTATGCAATAAAAAGCTTGTTTGCTTAAAAGTTTGTGTATCATTTGGTTTGGTCTTTGTTGTGTTGTGAAATTGTGGCTTTTCCTTTGAAATCATGAATGTAAGATCTTATTGTAATGAATAAACGAATGTTTCTATAATCCATCACATTATCAATTCTTAAAGATCAAGAGAAACGATCAAAACGAGAGTACCTGGCACTGCATCAGAACCTTATTAATGTTCCTTTTTAAGAAACTGGAATAAAGAAGATGTAAAAGATATGACCAAAAAAAGCAGCAGCAGAAGATGTATAAGCCTTGATATGGTCATTTGACTTATTTTCCTTGCTAAATTTCAGAAAATCATCAGCCTAATGGAATAGGCTTAAAGTTAAGATGGGCTCATAAAGCAAATGTAAGATGCTGAAAAATTTAGTATTAGGCACGCTGAATATTTATGAGTCCTTTAGCTTCCATAGTTACTAAACATACAATTTTATTTTCAGAAAATATATATGAGTACCAATATGGTGACCATATATGGTTTAGAAATGAAGCGACTAGATGATAAGAAAGAAGATGGCTGAAACGAACGTCGGATTGGTATGGTGACTGAGAAAGCGGTTTAGCTTCCAACACCACAAATAAGAGTACCAATAACCCCACAAGGAGATATGAACCAATATTGTGAGTTTGTTCTAAACGGTAATCTATAAATCTTATACTTTTATAAGTTAACTTTCTAGCAATATAATTTTCTTGGATTAGTAAATGTTTGAAATTTTGAGGCTGTTCTATATTTTATGGGTATTCCATAATGATCGAGCACTTTGCCGCCTTTTCTAACCTTAGTTGAATAAAACGAAGCATGTTAAAGATTGAATAAACTGAAAATGTAAAATCATGTTGCAAGTTTTAACGCGTTTGATTATTGTTTAATGTGACAACTCCTTATCACATCAAACAATAAGGGAGATGTATTGTGGATTTCTATCAAGATTTGGTGTCATTTGAGGATCGTTAGTTGTTAAGCCAAGATTGTTTGGTAAACCAAACGACTACTCTTTTTCAAAGTTTTAGTCACTAAACCAAAATGATCAGTTTTTGAACCATCTAAACCATTTCAACAGTAAAGATTTATCAAAAATCAGATTGGTTTTTAATCGACTAGTAATGTGCCAATGTGATATTCCTAAGGTCTAGGCAGAAAATTTATGTGAGATAAAGCTATAAAAAGTAGGCGTAATAAACGCAACACAAATAATTTTAAACATGCCACATTATGAGGAGATTAGATTCTTTTATGTTTGTTTACAATTATAACGTGAGGTTGCGTATCCCAAATCACCTAATAAAAAGCATTAATGAGTACATGGTAAGATTCGATATCGTTTTCAACCTTTCAGTTTGTTAAAAAAATTATTGTAATAAAGCTTCGTATTTAATTATTCGGTAAGCAAATTGCCTTTGAATTTGTTATTTTGATTGTATCATAATTGTGTGAACTCTCTTACCAACGTTGGAGTTATATACCACCAAAATCACATTTCTCACAAGACTGATAGTTACTTCTATTTGTCTTTTGCGTATGTGTCTTTGTGGTATATAAAATCTTCAATCGTTGGAAATAATCATCGTATTTTCATTTGTCGTTGATAATTAAAGTTCCAAAAAGAATCGAATAAAACAAGGGAGAATTCAATCAATAATTTAACATATCTGTACACGTAACAGAGAAAGAGATACGATACGATCATGCATCACTGTAGGCACTTTAACCCCACACACCACCATTAAAAAAAAAACTAAATATCACGAGATTCTCATTCAATGGCTACGTCCTCCCCGAGATTTACCCGTAGTCGTCGAACCGGTTCCGGATCCGGAACCGGATCCTTTTGTCGATACACTCCCTGACCCTCTGCTTCCAAAGTAAAGATCTGAGAGGTAATTTCCTATATCTTCAGGGGTATATCTGACACTAAACCCGTTAAACGTATCTCCTACCAAACCGACCCGGTTTATCTCGTAGAACTCGGTGCAAACCAGCATGAGTTTCTGACTCAACGAGATTTTGATCTGGTCCCTTAGTTTCGGGTCGGGTATGACCCACGATATCTGTTTCCGGTACGACGCCTCGAACTCATCGTTGAATCGGGTGAATAACTCTCTAGCCTCCTCCGGCGAGATTTCCTCCGCCGGGTTTTCCGGTAATGACGTCAGCACTTTCCCCCATGCGAGCTTCTCGAACTTATCCGCGTACTGGTTCACCTTCGCCTCGTGCCTCGCCAGCCAATCGTCGCCGAGAAGGAGCTTCAGGTTCGACGATCGGACCTTAACGACGACGTATTGAAGATTGTTGGTGAGGAAGAGGTAAGAAAGAGCGACGTCTTTGTACGGCTGAGCTTTGCCGTCGATTTTGCAGAGCGTGAGGAGAATCACCCATGCGATTCGTACGGAGACCGGAGACGAGTACAAATCCTGCGGATGAGCTTCGTCGCCGCCGCTGATGAACAAGGAATCCGGCAACGGAGACGGCACACTTAGCTTCCAGTTCTCGAAGATGGCGGCGATCGATTCGCTGTAATCGGCGAGGAAGGAGAGGTAATTCATGACGTAACGCGTGAGAGGGTGAACGCCGCCGCCGATTATCGGCGTTTTGGAGGTTTCTTTCTGAATCGCCGACTCGAAATCCGTCATCATCGACCTCGCCGCCTCGCCGAGCCTGGCTAGCGAGTTGATCACCTGAGACCTAACGGCGGCGGCTGAATCGAAGTAGAAAATCGATTCGATCTCCACGAAGAGATTCGCGAGAGACTCGTACATGTCCAGGAACCGGAACATCTTCTCCGGTGTTAATTTCTTGATCTTCCCGGCGTTTTCCGGGAAAGCAAAGAGGGTTAAAGCTCCTTCTTGAGTGATATCGGTGAAAGAGGATTCGACTATGTTAGTGGAGGAGGAGAAAACATGGTCAGCGAGAATCCTCTCGCCGAAGAAGAGAGACCGAACCGCTAATTTCACAGCTCGTAGCCACGATTTGATCTTCGATTCGAGAACCTCCCAATCCATCTTCTGAATCTGGTGCAGAGTAAATCTCTCCACCGCCAAATTGTGAAGCGTCTCGTCCACAATCGATCTCCGTACGGATTTGTAAACCGTGACGCATTCCTTTGCGTATCCCGTGGAAATCATACAATCCGCAATCATCTTGAGATCGTCCATGGCGTCGCTATCTCCGCCGGAGAATCTATGATCGTCGGCGTTCTCCTCGTAAGTGCTTTCGTCTTCCGAGTCGGAGACGCTTGTCGCGGTGGAAGTACTGAATCTGGAAGATCGGTAAGACCGTACGGAGACGGACTCCGGATCCAGATACTCCCGGTTCGCATTCAACACGCGGTGAAACTCGGATTCGAGAAGCTTCATCGCCGATTGCATCAGATTCTGCGCGAAGACGAGCTTCTCAGACGACGGATTAACGGAAACCAGACGGTGCATCGTGCTCTGTAGATGTTTAACGGCTAGAACGAACTCCTCCGCTTCACGACGGCTGTTGGTGGAAAAGAGGAATTCGTCGGAAGAAGAAGAAGAAGAAGAAGTCCATTTGGATATGACGGTGTTGATGTTGCTCATACATTCCTGAACAGCTGATTCGGCGAGAGATTGGTGAGCTGGTTGTTTCTCCGGCGGAGGAGGAGATGATCGGAACAAATGCTTCCCCATTTTTTTTAATTTCCAAACTCTGTTCTGTGTTTGCTCTCTGTTTTCTGTGTTTGCTAAATATTTGTGTGAAGAAGGTACTTTTGTTTTTTGTTGAGTAACAAAAAATGAAATTAAAAGCTTCTGGTTTGTTTTGTTTTGTTTGTAATAATGGCGAGAAGCGGATAAGAGGACGAGGGTAGAGGAAGAGCTATATATATAAAGTATTATTCAAATGACATGTATGTGTATGTATATACGTACGTATAGACATGTGGAGGAGAAATGTTCATTAGTCAAACGCGGTGTCAAATACGACGTGACATTGGTAAAGTCAGACCAATAGGGTTAGTTTAGTCAAATCCTGACGAAGTATTACATTTATTGCCTTTCATCTGCAGCTGTTAATTTTGCTTATTTACCGTTTCCAAATAGGACTACTAAATATTAACTCGTAATTTTATTCATTGAATGCACCGAAAAAGATCACACAAAAATGAATGCATTACAATTTTATGGATTTGTATTAATGAATGTTAGGAGTACGAAAGATGTCAATTCAAAATGTTTATTAACTGAAATTCGTGGCTCCTTTTTCTCAGTAAAAACAATAAACAACTAGTAGTTGAATTCGAGGAATATAAAATAAAACTAGCTAGATTCCATTTTAACACTGACGTCGGCAGGTTATAAAACATATCATAAGTGGTGATTGCCAATTCTTGGAAACTAAATCAGAGGGACAGCAAAATTTGGTAGGATACGAGCTATATTATATTAATGTTGGTCCGTCTGTTTTTTATTTGGTAAGGTAATTAATTTTGTTAACGACTATAACGAACCGAAAACGATTTATTTGAAAAGAAAATGCAACTGTTAATTAGCTTTATAACAATACACCTGTTAGTTCTATCAAACAACTAGTGGTTTGATATTTTGGGAAACCAAGATTGTGAGGAAGGTTCCCTTTCCCGCTTTCTTTGAGTTGAAGTTTGCGTTTGCGTCCTGCCGCCACAAAAATGAAATCCACAGTTTTCAAAAGATGTTCAAAGATCCTAAAATTGCCAGAATACGACTACTATGAAACAACAGTTTTCTCCATTTCTAAATCATGCTTATAATTGATTGGGTCAAGATAGAATACAATACAAAATTGTCCACCCAAAACCATTTGAGTATACATTTTTCGTCAAATGTCAAATATAAATCTTACTAATTAAATATTGTATTAAACTCAATAAATACTCTTGATTAAGAGACCTTTATTTCGAAATTAAGAATATATAGCTTCAACATTTTAATATATGCTATTGCCAGAGTTCAAATTCTTCTACGTTATAATTTTAACTATGGCTAGTCATTGTTAATGTTTCAAATAACAACATGAATGTTTTATTCTTTTTACATGATCTGAAAATTATTATGGAGATTTAACTCAATATTTTCCGATTTGGGGATTATCAGCGCAGTGGAAGGAGTTGTCTTATAACTTTTTCAGATATATACACATATGTCTAAGAAATTTCATGAAATGATATAAAATGACAGTACTAATCAACCGACAATCCTTTTAACTAAAAAAGAAATCAACCGACAATCGAATGAAACAGAAGTTAAACAAGTCAGTGTGATCTATACATATGTAATTATATGTTTGAAGTATTCATGCCCATTATTTTATATTTCTGAGTTAGTTACCAGCTAATGGGAAAATCGTCAAACACAAATACTTTAATTTTCTCTTGTCGTGGAAATTTAAAATAATTCAAAAAACAGTAAAAGACGGTGAAAAAGGTAGGAGAATCTAAAGTTGATTCAATAAGTAGGTAACAACTAACAAGTGAGCCAAGTGGAACTTACAGACGAATGAAAAAAGCTAAAGTTCCCATGCATGCATTTCAAAAACAATTACGTATGGTCCTCATTCTCCATGGCCCCTAGGGATTCGGAGTAGACACGACTCGAGAGCCGACACACTTGCTTTCTTTCTTTTTAGAGCACTTAGTTTCCCTTTTTGTCGTTGATCAAATTATAAATTATAGTACCACCATAAAATTGAGTTTTTGACCTTCCAAAGTTGACCGCTTATTTACAGATCCATCCAAATAACTTGTTGTGGATGTTGGATAAGTCCATCGAATTGGATATTGGTCCAAGGTGTGAATTTTGAACCTTTCGTTTTGACGTCTTCTTATGTTTACGAATCAATAACTTCATTAGGAAACTGTGTTCTCGGTCTTTTATCCAACAAAAAAAAAGAACGTCGTCGGTCTTTTAGTGTTTTAAAAACACTGTTTTTGTTTCATTTTCGGTTATGATAAGAAAAAAGTAGTCGTATACATTTCGATTGCACACGTTGATTATTATTTTGTCAGTTCCAGGCAAAAAATTATAGACAGTTTTGAACAATAAAATTATAAACAGTTTAACCAGCTAACGTATGACTGATTACCCTTGACAGCAAAATTGTGAAAGGAAACTTCTCAAAGATCATCTCTTCGTTTGAAGTATTCACGTATCTGTAGAAATCAGGAATACTCCACCTAATATTTATATAAGACTGAGAGTACTCATCGGCGTCATCGTCTTTAAAAACATTTAAGAGAGAAGACCTTATTAATGATGTCTGCTTGTCTAGTTGTTTACTAGATCAACTCTTCTCCCTTTCGTCTCTGAATCATTCTTCTGATGATGACCAGGTATATTTTCTTACTGCTATATTTCGAATTTAACTTTGAAGAATATTAAAATGTCCAAATCTAGAAATACAAAATATGTAATCTTAGAAGCAAAAAAAAAAAAATTTCCAAAAAAAGGTCTGGCTGTTGGGAATCAGTCTGATATGATCACATTGCTACATCAGATGTCATCGAAATACATATGTATATATAATCTTACAAGAGATCCAACAAAATCAAATAAACAAATGATGAAAAAAAAAAATACAGAGAGTCTATATAAATCCTAATCTCAATTCCCTAACGACTCGTTTTTGTTTTTGTTTTTGTTTTGAGGGTTATATCAAGAGGAAGAAAACAAAACCTCTAAATGGTTTTAAAGGTTAACTCTTAAGAGCCCTCAGGCTTTTCAAACTGCGGAAGTTCTGGAGGCGGCGGTTGCATTTGTGATTTTTTGTTGTTGTTCAGTAAGTTTTTCGCGTATAAAGACCCGAAAACGATGACCTGATGGAATGAACTTGGTGTTAGTCAAAAGAATCAAAAGTATGACGTATAGTTCTTGGAGTGCCTAAGGTTTTTTCACGGATTTCAATGGTTCAAGCTCAAAAAAAAAGATGTATAAGGATCGAAGATATACCGATCCGATGCATTGCTCCCAGCTAAGAGGATGAGAGAACCAAATGCACGAGAGCATGATGCTTGCAAGCTTCAGTAAGACCGATTATTCGGGTTAGAAACGGATTGTGTTAGTTATTGAGACCGGATATAGATCGGGCTTGTTGTTTTACCTGTCTCGTCGTCATGATTGCAGCGAATGTTAGAGCACCAAATGTCCTAATGGTGTAAGAAATGAAGAACTGGCTCGCTGTTGCAACCTGCACATTAGTCTCTGGTAAGGTCGCGCGAATTTAAGAGACAAGAAAGGAAAATTGTATTATGAGATGTCGTCATCGAAGCTTTTCTAAATCATTAGGATCATGGATATGTTTGTACATACTAGACTCAAATTTATTTTCATGAATTATGTTGTCTTGTGGACCCCTGAGACTACAAAAACGTAATAAGACTAATTTGGACGAAACATGATATTGTAATAACTTAAGCAGAAGATTAGAGGGAACTTAAACTTACTGTGGAAAGCAGAGCGATGTCGAGTAAACAATCTCTATGGCGAGTAACAAAATCTACAGCTAGTAGTAAATGGCCTTGCAATATAAGTCCTACAGATATAAGATTCACAGAATATGATAAGCAAAGAGAATGACTGACTAGAATATAATCTTCTTTTTGAGGGTCTAAGCACTGAGGTTTATGCTTAAAAATGAATTCTAAATAAAAGAAACACGGAATACGGTCAGAAACAGAGGAAGCTTAGAAAAAAGCTGCGACTAATTACATGTTAATATTACTAACATAGGACACAGCTCCAGCCTAGTAATCATCAGCTTAAGCTTAAATGAGGTGTCGTTGCAGAGGTCTAACAGTCAAAATAAATAGAGCTCATCTATTATAACCACACACAAAAAAAAGATGCAATTTTTACAGTAAAGATAGCAGCAACAAGTAAGATTCTCACCAGTGAAACTCAGGACACAAGAACAAAGTGTTGTGTAGAATATTTGGTTATGTATCTCCATATTATATCCTTTAAAAAGTTTGTCTTGGAATGTGCTTGTAAATCCATCAAACCTATTAGATAGTCAATTACCAAATACACAATCATGATTCATGACTCGTGGAGTAGTAACAACAACGTATCGAGATTCATATCTTAAAACCAAACAAAAAAATCTCAGTATAATAGGAAAAAACAGTGAAACTAGAAATACAGATACACATACCCAAGATACCCAGCCATAAGGGAAACACCCCAAACAGTATTTTCCCTTCCTTTATTGTATGGACTAATATCATCTCCTGCCTACAGCTCAGATTTACAGAAACAAACATCAGTAAATCTTACATTGGTGCTCATGGTAATTGTGATATTCTAACTAACCAAAAACTTAAATGATTGGGTAAGAGTATAGAGCAGTTTTATACCGGAAAAAGAATAAACACAGAGCAGCCAAGGGTCACAAGAAAAGCAACTAAATAGTCAAAGCCTTTATACTTCTTCTGCATAATGAGTGTTCCCCATACCTATACAGAGCACAGAGATTTGAACACGGCGATGCTAAACTCAAATGCATCTATTACCAAAAAAAGAATGTTGCAACTTACCATTACTGGTATCATTTTTGCACATTTTGCAAGTGTTTGGACTGGGAAGCTCACATACTTGAGAGCCTGGAGGCATTTACAGATGTTGAAATCAGTAGTTAGGAAAGCAGACATACTAAGTTCGTAAATTAAGAGTGGAGGTGAAAGATGAAACCCTACCTCATATTGGCATGTAGTGGTTAAGATGTTAGTCACGGATATAAGGCAATATTTGTAAACCGGAGCTACAGGATCCAAAACTTTCTTGCTTGCCTACAAATTAAAAAAAAAAAAAAAAAACAAATAGGGTTCTTAAATCACCAAGTATGAATACAAACACAAGTTGTGGTTTTTGCTGGTTTACCAGTAAAGCACAAGCAGAGACAGCTGATGTAGTGAGCCGATTGCAGAAAACCAGAAACAAAGAATGCTTAAAGAACTCCTTGTTCAATCCATAAGGAACTCTCATTATCTTCTCCTGCAAATTACAACCAAAATATAAAAAAGAAAAGAAATTTCTAATCTTTAACCAAAGTTCCAAATAAAATAAACAGAAATTGAATGTACCACGAAAAGAAAACAGACCTGAAGAACACCATAGATGACAAGAGTAGACATAATGCCGGAAACGGCGAATACACCTTTCCATAATTTGTTCTCCTTCACTCCGTTTACTGTTTCCGTCTCAGACATGGCTCATCCACCTCTCAATATCTTCGCTTCTGTCTGCGAAAGATCAAACCTTAGCTCAAATTAACCAGACGAATCACAAAACACAAAGCTCCGAACCCGATTCGTTTGTGTAAGCGTGCGAAACTACGGTAACTACACCTACGAGGCGACGAAGCTCAGAGATTTCACAATCTCAATCGAGAAACGTATATGAAAAAAGGGCCGATCTAGTGGAATCGAAGAAATATCTCTCTAACTCTGAAAACAAGATCGCCGGAAGAAATTCCCCGGCGACTCTCCGACAAGATCCGGTTTGCTCCACCGTCCTCTCCTTTCCTTGTAGTCTTTTACCTTTTTTTTTAAGTTCAGTTCGTTGGGGTTTTCTAAGGATCCGCCACGTCAGCACTCGAAAATACGCATGCTTGAAACCAAATGGGTCAAAGGTCAAAACCTTCCTGTTTAGTTAGAGGTTTCTGTTTAAAGGAGTTCGAAGATTTGACTCATGTGGCCCCTGAGAAACTCCACTCCAAGTAAGTCAGTACGATGATGAAGATTGATTGGGTAATATGACAAAACAAAAAGAAAGAAGATAAGTCCTAATTTAAAATTCGTGGTCGTGACTTTTTTACTTTTCGTTACATCCTTGGAAAATGTCTGATTTTGTATTTCTACACTTGCAGAATTTGGGTACGAAGACGAGAAGCAGCGAATCGATCGTACGAAGAGAGAGAGATATATTGTATATATGTTTCATTGTTTCTTTTCATGTCCTTATCCTCTGTATTTCATCCAATAGATGGATTCTGTTTTATCTCCTCGTACCTTTTTCGCTCACAGATTCATTAATTCAAGGTGTGTGATGAGAATTATCTTCCCCTTTGTAATATGGTTTCTTGGTGTCGTCTCGCTGAAAAAAATGTCTCGTATAGGTGGCCTAGGTTTGCTTCTACTTGCTGGAGATTGGCTAATGTTTCGTGTTGGGAGATCAAGGCTAGTGAGAATAGTGATCGCAACGTGTTCGATGAAAGTCCTCTTAGAGGAACCGATGATGGGTCTTTGTTTGATGATCCTGCTTCATTCGAGAAAGTTGACGCGGGAAGCACGCATGAAACTGTTGAGTTCTTCGTGAGTGACGCAGAGGGTGATCCAGATTGTCCTACTCAAGGCTATTCCTCTATCGAATTTGCTCTTCAAGCTCTACGCCAAGGAAAGGTTTGTTCTTGAAGACCATTGGATTTTTTCTCTGTTTTTTTTTTCAGTTGTATAGATTCGGTTTTACTACATTTCTTTCTTAAAATTTCAGTTTGTGATTGTTGTTGACGATGAAAACGGGGATGTTGAAGGGAATCTGATCATGGCGGCAACTCTAACGAGTCCCAAAGACATAGCGTTTCTGATTAAGAATGGTTCTGGGATTGTCTCAGTTGGGATGAAGAAAGAAGACCTCGAAAGATTAAACCTTACACTGATGTCACCTGAAATGGAAGACGAAGATTCCTCGGCACCAACTTTCACCATCACCGTGGTAACGATTTGCAGAATCAGTTACAATTCTCAAGATGGTTTCATTCCTTCTCTAGTTCCTGATAAAGTTATTGGTTACAGGATGCAAAATCAGGAACATCAACAGGAGTATCAGCTTCGGACAGGGCGAGGACAGTTCTTATGCTTTCGTCTGTCGAAGCTAAACCAGATGATTTCAGGAGGCCTGGTCATGTGTTCCCTCTCAAGTACAGAGACGGTGGAGTTTTGAGGAGAGCTGGTCACACTGAAGCGTCAGTTGATCTAATGATATTGGCTGGTTTACGTCCTGTCTCTGTTCTTTCAGCTATTCTTGATCAAGAAGATGGATCTATGGCCTCGCTTCCGTATATGAAAAAGCTTGCTTCGGAACACGATATCGCCATTGTATCCTTGACTGATCTAATCAGGTTAGAGAATAAGACAGAAAAATGTATGGAGAAGAAAGAGTAATTTGGAAACAAGTAAATTGCTAAACTATGGCTAGTTTTATATACACGTAGATATCGAAGAAAGAGAGAGAAGCTTGTGGAGAGAATCACGGTGTCTCGGTTGCCTACCAAATGGGGTCTTTTCCAAGCTTATTGTTATCGTTCTAAACTCGATGGAGCCGAAAATATTGCCCTCGTCAAGGTAAAGCAAACATCACTTGCTTCTAAATATGTAAAAGAGCGTTAGATCACAACTTGATCAAAACTTGGATAAGGACCATTCTTGTTTTGTTTCTGTCTGAATCTTAACCAGGGAAACATCGGAGACGGTCAGGATATTCTAGTACGAGTACATTCAGAGTGCTTAACCGGAGACATTTTCGGTTCAGGAAGGTGTGACTGTGGTAAACAGTTGGAGTTAGCGATGGAGCTAATTGAGAAAGAGGGAAGAGGAGTCGTTGTGTATCTCCGTGGCCACGAAGGAAGAGGCATTGGCCTTGGTCACAAGCTTAGAGCTTACAACTTGCAAGACCAAGGACACGACACTGTTCAGGCCAATGTTGAACTTGGCCTAGCCATTGATGCTCGTGAATACGGTATTGGTGCTCAGGTCAGCCATATAATATCGGTTCAGTTTCGGTTTATAAAGTTTTCGCTTATGTTTTCGGTTATTCGATGGAAAAGTAACCTACACAGTTACACATTGATTTTTAAATAATATATCATCTCAATTTTATTGGTTTTGGAATGGTCTACATGTGTAGATGCTCCGGGACATAGGAGTGAGAACAATGAAGCTGATGACGAACAATCCGGCGAAGTTCACCGGACTGAAAGGGTACGGACTGGCCGTAGTTGGGCGTGTACCGGTGGTGACACCAATCACCAAGGAGAACAGAAGATACATGGAGACTAAACGCAATAAGATGGGTCACGTTTATATCTCTGATATCGATCAGCCTTTGGCTTGACCAGAAGCTATTGATAAAGCTTAGAGTGGCAGAGAAACACCTCTTTTACAGTAGAGTGAAATCTCCTCCAATACAAAACAATCTTACGCATGCGTAACATTGTCTTAGACTCTTGTGTAAATTCGAGAAATCTGTTCTCAGGTTTTTGCTAAAATACTTCCATTTTGGGCTTTGAGTACCCGGCCCGGCCCAGTAATTTATTTTAGTTTTCAGTGTATAAATACAATTTTGACAATTTTACCACGTCTTCTTGCTTCAACGCTGAAAAATAAAACCTTGAATCCCCTTTGCGCAGACAATGGATCCTAAGGGTACGTTCTATCTTTGCTCAGTTTCCTCTCCCTCTCTTTCACTAACCTTTACATCATCTGGCTTGGTAGTGTAATTGCGCTATAGTTTGTCACTGTTTTGAAATCATTTTCGTTTCGATAGAGATATAATTCGTTTATCCATTCTTAATTCGATCAGTTAGTATTCCTCGTACCATTTCGTGTACTTGGTTAGTCCCAATAGAAATTTTTCGATCTTCTCGTCAATTGGCCTAATTAGAACAGTAAACCTTTCAATTATTCATTTAGCCAGAATTGTATCATGTATTAGTATTTGTTTTTTGATTATGGACTCTTCTGATAATTTTCTTTGATTTGAATTAGTGAATAATCATATCGAATATCACAATATGCCACTTTTCGTTTCTGATTAAACCGTAGTTTCTTCAGTTGTCTTTCTTGCTTTAGAGTAATGTTCTTAGTCTAGCTGAAACACTGAAGTTATATGAGTTATATATATCTTGTAAATCAGTTATTTGAATATTGATTGATTAAGCTTTGATAATTGATATGCAAATTCAGCTGAGAAGAAGACCGATCCTAAGGCTCAAGCCGTGAAGGCTGCAAAAGCAGTGAAATATTAATCAGGTACAGCCTTGAAGAAGAAGGCCAAGAAGATCAGAACCAAGGTCACATTCCACAGAGCCAAGACCTTGACGAAGCAGAGGAACCCTAAATACCCACGCAACAGCGCTGCTCCAAGAAACAAGCTTGACCATTCCCAAATCCTCAAGTTCCCTCTCACCACCGAGTCTGCCATGAAGAAGATTGAAGACAACAACACGCTTGTGTTCACTGTCGATATAAGAGCCGACAAGAATAAGATTAAGGATGCTATCAAAAAGATGTATGATATCCAGACCAAGAAAGTGAATACTCTTATCAGGTAAGAGATAGAACAAACACACTCTGGTATTAAACACACCAACAAGAATTCAAGAAGAACACTTTTGTTTGCTCCTCATTTTTGCAGACCTGATGGAACGAAGAAGGCATACGTGAGATTGACACCGGATTACGATGCACTGGATGTGGCTAACAAGATCGGAATCATCTAGACTCTTGTCTTCTTGGTGTTTTTTTTTTCTTTTCTAGACGATCTCTTCTAAATCTTTTTTCTTAATTGTTACTTTTTACTTTTCCGGTTCTTAATTAGTTGATTTTGTAATATATTCCTTATGATTTGTCAAAAAATACATGTTTTGGATTTTTAGACACACAGTATTAAAACTTGTACTTATTACTGTTTCAGGAATACAAATTGATGGACTCCAAGAATGTCTTAAAAGTGGTAATGAAAGCGAAACTGAGACTGATACCCGAAAACAAAACATTCTCCGGAACCAGATTTTACATAATAACCGAACCGGTCGAACCAAAGATAGAATCATAAAGAAGGGACAAAATAATCACCCAACTTACAATACTGCTCTGATAAAATCTCGTAAAATGATCGATTGACTACTCTTCTAATCTCGGCCTCTTTCCGGTTAACATCGTTTGATCGAGAACCGAACTCGAACCGAAACCAAATCTCATAACCGAACCAGAACACGTCAGAGAATCACATCGTCCCGACGCGCCGCTACTATTAACATCAAACCCTCTAAATGAGAGAGGAGGAGTCGAAAGAGGTAATTCAAAACGCTGCGATTGCGTTTGAGGCGGTGGGTTTACCCATTTTGGCAGCGGTCCCGCCACGAGAAGCGTTTGAAGAAGCGGTCCAGCTTCCACCACCGCTTTCAAAAGCTTTCCCGTTTCGGGAAATGCTTTACCCATCACGAGAGCGTCCAGAGGATCGAGCTGATGATGATTATGAGCCGTTGGATCTTCGTGTATCATCGACGGCTGAGAGTGATGAATGTTGAGGAAACTGGAGAGTTCTGAGGAAGAAGGAGAAGAAGAAGATTCGTCACGAGAGAAGCTGTTTGATTCAGTGCTGCTTCTTGAATTAAGGAATTGAGATAAGTGTTGTCTAGCTTCGTCTCGTTCTTGTTGAGTGGATTTGAGGAGAGTGAGAAGTTGGTTGATTTCTTCCGCGTGTGTTCTTGATTTCTCATTGGCTTCCATTTTCAGTGTCTCTAGTTCGCACAGAGTGTTCTGTAGATTCTGCCTCATCTCATCAATGCTCTGCATCTACAATATTATAAACAACAATTTATATTCAAAAAGATCAAAGATAAACGACGAACTCCCAAAAAAAAAACATGTGATTTATAAGTACCTCATGATGATGATGCCAGATAGAAGAATATAAATCCTCCATTGATCAGTGTCTGTGTTTTGTTATAATACTCTGTTAAGAACTAGAGTGACCCTTTATAATGATTGTTTCGGACATGTATTAGACGTCAAAAGGAGTCTTCTTTTATTAAAACCAAATAAATTAATAAAATTCAAATTTCTTTTGTGAGACAAATAACATGGTTACAATAAGGCTTGGAAATGGTTAATAGTAATTACAATTAAAAAATGTGAGAAGTTGCCTATGGTAATAATAAACTGAATTGACTTATTTTCCAATTTCCATTTAATTACCCAATAATTGCAGCGGATTCTCGTGAACAAACTTACAAAAAGATATGTAAATTCAGAAAGGTCCAATTTAGGTCGCAGTATAGTTTTGTAATATATCATTTTTGTATGTAAACCACTGATGTAAGCATATTAAATACTTGTACTAGATTGGCTTGTGGACTGCCCAAGAAAATATCTGATAATTTAATGTGGCACTGTTGATTGTTTTTCCTAACGATAAATGTATACCTTTACTATATATCTTAGATATTCCTTACGTTAGCTAGCTTTAATTTGGATCGTACACTCTATTTCATTATTATGCAAAATATTCTTTACGCACAGAATACTCAAAACCACTATTATACAAAACATTTTTTTATCGAGCTTCGTGGTATGAAATTCTTAATGTCGCACTACTTTCAAATATTATAATTTTTCACTTAAACGGCTCACAATTTGCTAGTCTTCTTAAAGCATCTACAGTATTTAGTTTGCTCAATACCTTATATGAGTTAAACAAAATATGATATATACAACTAGAAAACAAACTTCATTGGTAAACAAAGAAAGGAAAATCTAACCATATGCAAGAAATTTACATTAGTATTCCATAATAATAATAAAAAAAGACTTGAAAGCCTAATTAAAAATTCTGTTTTGATATAAAAAAAATCGAATAAATCATTATATCAATCCAAATTATAGATAAGTGAATAAAACACAAACCATAAAATGACAAGGAGAAAAGACCTTGAGGCTCCTAAATCCTAATCCATATACAAAACCCAACTAATAAACTATATTGCAATTTTTACAATTTTTTTTCTGTGAGCTATACGTGATTATTCAACAATAATTTTTTAGTTGGCCTATCAAGCTTATGGAACTCGTGATCTTGGCATTTTCTTGGTCGGCACATAGCAACAGGTACAAGTCATATATAGACAAAACTCATCTTTCATGACTTGGACCGAAACTGAAAACTATTATACACGTGTCTTCCCTATTGAATGATTCGTCTAAAAAAGTCGACTTGACGATACTAAATGCTTTGACTGCCAAAGCCCAATCAATCTGAAATGATCTTCAAAGGTTTGTCACAAAATATATAAATTCTGACCCTCCCAACGATCAATTCGTTCCGTTTTTAGAATTGTCATGGTCCACAACAGTTGGCATAATTTGCTTTCTATCTCAACCATTTTTTGCTGTCGGATGGTTCACCTTCAACCATATTTGTTTGACTTAAAATATACCAAAAATCCCATTAGAATTAGAATGATTTTATTACCAAAAATCATGTTCGATCTTATTTTTCCGATTTCGTCTATAAGTTTTGATCGACAATAGACAAATTAAAAAATGTTACTAGTAGTAGTCTATGAAGTATATTTTTACCCCCAAAAAAAGACATATACTAGTATATTCTGACGGATTACCGCCATTCTTTTGGACTGCTTACTGCCATTTAAAGGTTAAAGACTATCAGCTCATACTCTCTTTGGCAGGGGCCAAACGAGAATCTTAACTTTCTACCTATTTTAATTTATTTTGCTAATTTTTGAAATTTAATTAAATAAGTGTTACAAGGAATCAAATGTGGAAAAAAACAATCATAATGGAGATAGTCTAGGATGATTTACTTTTTGAACAATAATAACAAATTTAGTTATGTTCATCGGTGGTTCCGGCCAATAAATAAGAACCTTTTCTGATAACAACTCAAGGATTAAAGTCGGTCCAAAGGTTTGAATAGTTGTTTCTCTAAAATTTCTAGTCTATTTAAAATCTTAAGATTGTGCACTTTTTCAAAATTAATTGCGAACACATGCCTTCAGGTGCACGAGTAGTTGACTGACTGGTAATCAAAGCTGCAGCAGAGGAAAGCACTTCGTTCCATTAAATTTGAAAATACAAGGAACATTATTGGTTCGATCGACCAAAAACTAAATTCATTAATTAGTTTGACTGAAGATGAAACTCTTTCTGGTTTTTCTTTTGTTTTTTAAGGACGTAGTTCATAATTCAAAACAGTAAGTACTTCAAGTCTGAAACTGCGTTTTGGGGACAAATCAGTGCACAAATTCAAAGATAAGATACATATCTGAGGAGATGACTGAATGCACTTTCACATTCTCTTTCTCTTGCCGTGATGTTTCTCTGCTTTTCCAAGCTTGGACTTTCTTTGTTTGAACAGCTGGAGATAAAGCTTCAACCAAAGGAACGGGTAGACCAAGAGCACGGCCTGAATAAAAAAGAGCCCAAGACATATCTAAATGGTTACTGGAAAAGCTAATCTTGACGACGATAATATCTAAAAAAGAAATCACGATTATCTGAGACCAAAAAGATCAAGGAAAAAAACAATAGATGTTTCTTGAATTAGAATATAAAAACGCTACTTAAAACATAACTCCATAAACGATACTTAAGCCAAAAGGGTTTCGTTGAAGGAGAAGAAGAAGGAAAAGATGAACATACCCAAAGGAATTCATAGTAACTGAAGGGGAAAACAGAGAAGAAATTTGCGTAGAGGTTCCTTTCTTTAACATATGGAAGCGCTTTGTACATGATCAACACTGCAGAAACATGGTCAAAGTCGATAAGAAGAAATGAAATAAGAATTCTGGCTTCAGAGAAATACATATACGCTTTAAAGTACTCACGTTCACCCATTAGCCCCGTTGGATAGATCATGATGAATCCTGTATACCTGGATGGTAAAAAATATTATGCAATCCGTTCAACTCGAAAACATTTCTGTGATAGGGATCGTTTCAAGATCAAAACAATTTATAAAGTACGATATATTACCTGAGATAAGTTAGCCAATAGGGACATCTACCGAGACATGTTAAAGCATAGTGAGGATATCTGATCATCTGCATCCAAATCCATCACTCAGCTAACACATCGAGTAATTTAATACAACCATTTGTATATAACATCATTGTTACACCTAGATTAAGCTTTAAAACTCTTTCTCAATCTACTCTAATCACTGCTAATGCTCAAAGGTCTCGCTAACGTTCTCTCAGACCAGAACATTGAGATAACATGTTTCTTTTTCAAGTGTCACAAACTTGTCATTGGCATCTCTCTGTCTTATTGTTGTAAGATATTGAAAGACATGTGAAGATCAACAAAACTCACCTCGCCGAGACACCAAGCTACAAGCGTTATTGACAGCCATGGCGAATCCTGGACCTAAAACGATGAATATGAAATTGGAATTACACTGCTAGCTTTGCAGAAACTTTGTATCGCTAACGAGTAAAACCACACAAACCTCGTTGATCTGTCCAACAATGGCCAATATGAAGTGGGTTCTTCCACTCCATTGCATCAGCGGAGACAAGAATCCACTCGGGACTATTCCTAAAATTCAAAGAGGATCAATCAGTCTTTCAATTCATAATCATTGAAAAAAGGGAAAAAAAATAAACTTCACAAACATCAAATCATTCCAACATTACCCATGGCTCCATGAAGAACTTCAACAACAGAAGCAAATTGCATCACACCTGAACGAATCAAAAACCAACAAAAGATATCATTTTTCAGAAACCCATCAATCCAGCTTTGGATTGGATTTGGCCATACTTGACAGATCAGTCTCACAAAATCAAGCAACGATAACATTCGAAAAATCGTAAGCGATAGAGAAGACGAAATTCCTTCTTACTTATCAAGTGTCCAGCAGAAGCGTAAGCGCCATTGATCGCCTTGCTCGATAAACAGCCGCTGAAGATACTGAGAAGCGAAATCGTCCTGGCGAAGAACACAAATCTCATGAGTAAAAGGCAAGAGAGTGAAAAACGAGAAGACGGAGGGAAAGAGAGAGATATATATACCATGAAGAAGCTTGGAGGAAATTGTAAGCAAAAAGATAAGTCTTGACGAACGGAGAAGACATTTTCTATTACAGAGAACCGATCGGCGATGTGGGAATCCCGCGGAGGCTCGAATAGTGGCTGCTCGTCTGGATAGCATTTTTGACGGCGGAGGATTAAGATTCTCGAGTGACGTCACTCACATGTTTCTGTGGCCCTGACTGACTCACTTCGTACAGTAAACTGGTGTGAGGCGAATTAAAATTTCAGCTTAGCTTCAATATTTTTTGTATTTTACACTGATTTACCCCTGAAGTATTCATTTAGTTCAAATAAACCTCAAAGTTATATAAAATTGAATTAACACATCCCACTTATTACATATTGATTCCAATTAATAACTTCGTCCTTGCTGTGTTTAGATTTTTCGATGCGCGCGAAAGCTCACAGTTGGGTATATTATGATAACGACGCTTAATATGCATGTGACTGCATTTAATCATAAAAATAATCAGCCTAGAGTAGTTAGTTTTCTTGTTAAAGTTTTGCTAGTTCTCTGTGTTTTTTTTTTTTTTTTTTTTTGAGTTTCTTTCAAGGAAATTTGCAATGAACTGAATCAGTATTTGATAATCTCTTTGCTGATTTAAAATATTCCTGGATTCATATATCCAATACCATTTTTTTACATACTCTTCCAATAACTTTGGGTGAAAAGGAGATAATCTTAGTGGGTGCTTGCCTAAAATATTTTTGAAAGTTTTTGTGGTAAAATTTATGACTTTAAATGATTGTGATTACTTTTATCAATTTGTGGATCTTATTATATCCCTCCATTTGTTCTTGTTCTTGGCGGAGCAAGATATATATATATATAGGCACGTAAAATCAGATTATGAAAGATATGTGCTTATTTTTTTCTACAAATTATCATATGCTTATTAAAAGATTCAGATGCCTTTTGGTGAGAATCAGCCAATCCAAATGCTTTTTTCAATTCACCTCTTTTGTTTATTGAAGATATTTATCAATTAGGCTCCCGTGTCCAATTTTATTTATATTGATAATATAGTTGTTCTTACTTTTAAGCAGCCATCCTTTTCTTCTTTTTGTTTTCTTTTTTACATTGAAATTTTCAACAAATATTAATAGGAAAAGTTTGAAGGTGTAGTAGTGGTTCATATAATAAAGAAATAAAAAGGATATCTTACCATAAAGACTAAAGAGTGGGAACTGATCTTTTATCATGTAGCAATTGCTTAAACAGAAAAAAACAACACGTACTCGATTTGATCAATTAGATGATAAAGCAGAAGAATACATTCTTCTTTTTTTTTTTCCTTTCACAAAGTTGGCTTAAGCTTTACAAGTCAAACCTATTCTCTTTGATTATTTAGATGATGAATATGCCTTGTTCAGTCATGTTGCTACTTGCTTATTCCATTTTTCTTCCTTCACTCTCTTTAGCGTTTTTAATAATGGATACTCACAGACTCTCATCCATCACTTTTTGATTGATCAACATCAATTTCTAATTATGATTTCTTACAAAAAAAACTTTCACAGAAACTTGAAAGTCTTATTGATTTTGAAAATAGAGTTCTGACTTTGTATTACAACACTGGTGTCCATGGAAAAGGCAGAGGATATGATGACTACACATGAAATTAGTACAGTGGGTGGTGTTTTTGTTTTTGTTTAAGTCATGAAAAACTACTAGAGTCGTTTGATAATATATATATATATATATAGGCTGCACAACTAAACATTCCAATGAATCAAATCCTAGACTAAAGACGACCACGATGATCTACCATGTTGAAAACTGAGGGGAAACTGGTCAATGGCAAAAGAAGACATCTTACTTTCATCTGCTGCGTCCATGTTCCATATAGACTCCAAGGAACTTTCCCATGTTGGAGAAGTCAGAGGAGGAGTGAAGTTCAAGTAACAGCTTTGCTCTGAGTAGTAGATGTCTTTTACAGGTTTGATAATGTTTGCTCCAGACTGATCAATCTCTCTCCATATGTCATCCATGGAGTAGTATCCGTCTTCACATTCTTGATTCATGTTCCCATTGGATCCTCCAGTGTCTTGATCAGTAGTTGCAGTGGTCATAGATGATGAGCAGCAGTTAGAAGATGAGGAAGTTGGAGACATAGGTCGCTTCTTCTCCTGAGCTTTCTTCCTCATATGAGTCCTCCAGTAGTTCTTTATCTCATTATCTGTTCTCCCCGGCAATTTCCGGGCGATTTTTGACCATCTGCATATGAATTATTTCAAAAAGTTCATACAAAACAAAAAGAAAGAGGATTTTATATTAAAAAAACATTTATTTGTGGGTTTTCTCTGTTTCTTGGAAATGATTCTGACCTGTTACCCCATTTGGCGTGAAGCTCAAGGACAAGACGCTCTTCTTGAGGAGACATCTTACCACGTTTGAGACCAGGATGCAGGTAATTAACCCACCTTAACCTGCAACTCTTTCCTGTTCTGTTTAAACCTACAACCAAAACCAGGTCATACTTTTAATGGAAGGTCCTTTCCAAAGACCGCCCATTTTTCCAAGACAACCCTATAACCTATACCTATTCTTATGTTTCTCCCTCCACCTTCAAACCTGAAACTTTCGCTACAAAATCCCATCTTCGATCTCCGAACAAGTGGACAAAGTTGACCAAGAGGATGTCCTCCTGTTCTGTCCACGGTCCTTTACGGTATTGATCTTGCACATTTTTCATCTCTCTCTCTCTTTCTCTCTGAAGTAGAAAACTAAAGTTGCTTGTTTATGGGAACCTTTGGCATACTCTATACCAATATTTATATAAGCCAACTTGAACACGGTGTTGTGTCTACGCGATATAACACTCACATTATTAAAATTCTCTAATGATTTTGTTTTTCTAATCTTTACCGTCCATATGGTGAGAGATTATGCTGTTGATAATGTGGGGTCCGTTGTTTTGTGATGCCATCAAGCCATTATAGCATATATATATAAATTAAAAAAGGAAATAATCGTTAATAGGCGATTGATGTAACACTCCAATTAATTCTGCCTTTTCTTTGTCTTTTTGTGTCTTGCAATAAGAACACTTTCTTATATTTTCTTTTGGCAGGTCCCAATTGATTCAATTGCACTATCTCGCTCGCGTGTCAGTAAAACATCAGCAGCATAGCAAACCAAACAGGGGAATAAATAAGGTAAACTATATAATACTTGTTATAAAAAAACAACGAAGTATTCATTTAAAAAAAAAATAATACACAGAAATTTAGTTTTCTTTTATCTCACGGTTTTGACAATATGGAATCAATTTTCTCTGTGTGAGCCAAAAGAAGGCTCAAGACGTTTTTTTCTACTACTTTGGTGAGGTTATGATTGCAGTTTGTCCCTTGACTTTATTAAAGGGTAATATCGATACCACTGTAGAAGCTTATAAATCGCAAAGACAGATATTTAAAAAATGAGAAATTTTCAAAAAGCATAATAGCAAAAGGGGTCGAATTGTTTTTGGGTGTCTGATAAGTGGCCTTTTGTATCTAGCAGCAGCACTTGAGATTAAAAGTTCGATACTTAGATATTGTTTTTAGGATATTGAATCCGTTTTTAAACACCAATTAAATTATCTATTTAGATGAGAAAGGCCAATTTGATTTAGCTTGGCTTTGTGATTTGCCTCTTGGTGCTCTGTTTTCATGTCTAGGAAAATTTCGGCTTTTAATCTTTCAAAACCAAAGATCAGCCGTTGGTAATACTTGTTTTTCAAGATATCTGTTTATTATCGAATGGCTTATTGGAATTTTATTAACCTTACATATATGCCCACGTGCGCAATTTCTGTGGCTAACATCTTCTAGATGCATGAATTAAAGAAGAGTAGAGAAGGTTCCGACTTCTGACTCTGTGTGTCAGTGTAAGCACCTGGTGTGCTGGTCCATAAAAGCAGAGGATAAAGAGTTATATATAGATATATATATATATATATTCTCTTCTTTTCTCTGTATATATCTCTAATTGGCAAAGAGTTCCCAAGATTCTTCAAAGTGTTTAGTTGTGGAAAACTCTGAAAATGACCTAGAGAAATCTGCGAGAATTATACTCAGGTTGATGCTGCATAGTCTTTACGATTAAGCAAACATATACCGAAACGCTACAAAGATTCCGGTTTAGGTACATAAATATGGAAAACCTTATAGTAAGTCCCGGTTTGATCCTATACCTCTGACTAAGCTAGAGCTCGATTTTTAAAAATAAAATTATCTCAGTTGTTTGTTTGCGTTGGCGTTTAGCTGTTTACATTTACTGTGTTTTTCTTCTTACATAACTCAAAACTTAAGTATTTTGAAACATCCTCTTTGCGTTTGCAAAATCTTTTAATAAAACCTCAAAAAAAGGAGGTTTCAAAATGTAATTAATAGCAATATATACTCACAGATAATTGTATAATTGTTATAACACATATCATATATGGACTCTTATACCGGCCCATTAGGCCCATCAGGGCATTGTACTTAACCTAGATTCCTTATGTACTCTATATATACATTCCAGTGATTAATAAAGTTTCTAAGTTTTCACAACACGTTATCAGCACGATAAGACTCTCTGAGCGAAAAACCCTAATAAATCCGGCCATCACCAAAACCCTAAAAGCAAATCGAAACTTAAAAGACGCATATCTTCCAAACCGTGAGGAACCAGAAGACGATCTACATATCAAATCGAAGCCCTCGACGAGACGAATCTACTGGTGAAAACCGTTTGTCGATCCAACGTCGGACGCGCCCTCACGCACACTTACAGTACACGACGTTCAACCGAAAAAAAAAAAAAAAACCAGATCCGAGTTTTTCCTTCTTCAACCAACAGCTTCTCCAGTTTTGGTGATCAATCCTTGGAATTTGTAGCGGCTAACTGAGGTCTATTAGCTCCCAGTTTTATTAGCCTGTCAGAAATCCAAAGGTGGAAAAGGTATCTTCTAAAACTGAGAGCCATAGAACCTGTTGTTTAAACACTTCAAAAAAAAAAAAAAAAAAAAAAAAAAAAAAAATCGATCTCTAATTGATTGAAAGTGTTTGATACTCTGATGATTGATTGATAACTTGTTGATTGATTGTTTAAATTACAAGTTTATGCATGTTCAAAGGTTTTAAACTCGTTTTATAAAACCCTAATCTACAAAAACCTAACAACCGTTTTTGGCCATGTTTATGGCATAAACCTATTCGATTTTCTTCATGTTTAATAAGCTTGTTGCAGCTTATTTTGATTGTTGATTCTCTTGCTTGAAACACTTGATTGAATAAACTAAGAAAATCAACCCTAAATCCTAAGCTTGATTCACGATTTTGTAATCTTCAAAATCGTAAGTCATAATGCTTAAATCCTAGTCCTTTTCACGTGATTTCTTTGTTGTCCTTGTGAAATTATTAAAACCATCGACCACAGATCCTATAGATCTCGAAATCACATCCAAAATATGTTTTCCAAACCGTTAAAACCCTAGATAAAACCCTAATCATATTCGGCTCCCCTAGGGTTCCTCCTAAACCGCCTAAAACCGGCTAAACCTGGTTCTCATTAACCGAAATTATATTCGGCTTTAACCGATTAAATCACAGCTATTAAACCGACATCATGTTCGGGGTAACTAAAACCATACCCTTTAAAATTTACTATTTCCGAGAAAGTTCCCTCTAATAGAAAGTTTTCTCATATAAAAACTTTCCTCATATAGAAATTTTCCCGACATAGAAACTTTCCTCATTTAGAAAATTATCCAAATTAGAAACTTTCCAAATTTAGAAACTTTCCTAAAATAGAAATATTCTCAAAATAGAAAGTTTCATCATCAGCATTCAAAATTTTCTCAAAACAATCCCTAACAAAATCAATCTCATGTTTCAGATGTCAAACATTCAGAAATGTGAATTCGAGGCCCTTCACGTCTCCGGGGATAACTACCTCGAGTGGGCCCTAGACATGCGCTTGTTCCTTGCATCGAAAGAACTCGATGCGTGTATTACCGACGGTAACACCGCATCCCGTAAGGGACAGTCTCAGGCGATATGTCACATACGCCATCATCTGGCCTCGAGCCTTAAGCAGCAATATCTCACTCTTGAGAATCCACTTGAATTGTGGCAAGCGCTGAAAAAGCGATATGACCATCAGAAAATGGTCCAGTTGCCTCAGGCAGATTTCGACTGGAAGAACCTTCGGTTCCAGGACTACAAATCCGTAGATGATTACAACAACGAACTCTTTCGTATTGTTGCCATCCGGAAACTCTGTGGCGAGGATGTGACAGATAATGATCTCCTCGAGAAAACATTATCCACATTCAGCACAGAGAATGTTGTGCTCCAACAACAATACCGTGCAATGAAACACACATTGTACGAAGACTTGTTGTCCTGTCTTCTCCTCGCTGAGAAGAATAACCAGCTGCTTATGAGGAACAGCGCTATGAGGCCCCCGGGATCGGCTCCTGTCCCAGCTTCTCGTCAAGAGTCCTACCATGTTCAACCCGATAGATCCTCAGATCACCGCCGTGGACGTGGTAATGGACGTGGTAATGGCCGAGGACATGGACGTGGAAGACGTGGACGCGGACATGGTCGCGGCAACCGACCTAACCTCAGTTATGGTCCTGGTCGTAGTCGAGGCATCACCAAGCCGACCCGCCACACCAACCCCGATCACTCTGCTTGTACCAGATGTGGGATGTTCAACCACCCAACAAAGCAATGTCGCACCCCCAAGATCCACTGCGATCTATACCAGAAGTACGGAAAAGCTCCTGCTGAAGCCAACATGACTCAGCCAGTCGATGTTGCTAACCTGGAAGGTGACGACCTCCTTGATGATGAGAACACCACAAACGAGCAGACCGACCCCATGGACTATGAAACAGCTGATCTCCTCGATTAATTCAATCATCTGAAACTCTGATACAATTTGATTTTGTTCTTTATTTTTTTTTTTTCATTTTGGGATTTGTTTCATTTTTTTTTTTTTTTCCATTTGCCTTTATTCTCAGACACTGCTTTACTTTATGATTTATCACATTTTCTGAATTCCTCAATACTGGATTCTATCTTCTATTCATAATGAAGCACACCAGCAAATGGAAACCATAGTCGTAGATAGTGGATCCAGCCACACTATCTTAAGAAATAAAAGTTACTTCATAAACATAACCTATCAAACCGCAAATATTAGCACCATCGCGGGTCCCTCAAACCTTATCGAAGGATATGGCCATGCCTATGTGTTGCTATCAAATGGCACACAACTTGAAATACCAGATGCTCTATATTCTCCTAGTTCGAAGAGAAATCTTCTGAGCTTCAAGGATATAAGACAGAATGGTTTCCACATAGAAACCCAAGGTCAAGGGAACAAAGAATCCCTCCTAGTCACTAAAACCGTAGACGGCCATAAACAAATCCTCGAAACCATACCCGCGCTCTCTACTAGACTTTACCATGCTAAAGTCAGTATGATTGAAGCTAATACCACTCTCAAAGCCCGGTTTACTGATTATACTATTTGGCACGACCGGCTTGGTCATCCCGGTGCAAATATGATGCGTAAACTAATTCAAAACTCTCAAGGGCATACCCTCAAAGAAAACCGAGCTTATCCTCAACACCTCATGTGCACAGCTTGTTCTCAAGGCAAATTGATCACTCGGCCTTCACCAGTTAAAATCTCTAAACAAACACTTCATTTCCTAGAAAGAATCCAGGGCGATATCTGTGGACCTATACATCCATCTT